CCGTACGCTGTACGACAAACGCACCGCTTCGGCACCACACGCCGTCAAGAAACGCATAAATTGAAAGCGCCCTTAGGGCATGTTATTTACTTTCTAATAATATTTTTGGTTAAACAACTAAGATTGTTCAAATCTCATAACAAAGTGTACCTGATTTCGATTTACTTCGTATCATGTATAGAGACTGCTAAATCTCAAACGTGGCCTGGATATTCAGTTTTAAGACATAGCAACCCTAGTTGCTAAAAACTTGGTCTCGGAGAACGAGGCTACCGTTTTTTGTCTCCCCAGATGGCGTCATTATTGAGTGATGTCCAGAAGTGTAGCTATTAAAGTTTATAAATACGCGCGTGAAATCAAATTTTTACTTTCATAAACCGAAGAATAAAAGGAGGACATATTATTTTTTCTTAGCTCCGCTTTAAAATTAATGACATTCATTGATACGTAACTCATATTTTCTATAATAAATCGAAGTTATCACCAAATATTCACAACATCATTATAAAGAAAATATAACTAGAAAAAATTCCACGCGGACCAGGCCCGTTTGCTGCCTGGTCCGCGTGGAATTTTTTCTAGTTATATTTTCTTTAGATTTAAACATCAAGCAGTCACATGCTTTAAAATAATAAAAATTATAAACATCATTATATTAAAACATAAATCAGCTTAACCCTTAAGCAATAACATTTGACATTTCGGAGACCTCACGTTACGCAAGCGCCTCTAGCGGCGGATTCTTACGCGTTAGTCCTCATTAGGTGAGGTGAGTCCAACCTGGCAAAGTGAAGATGGTTGCTTCGTAATTATACCTATCTGTCGTCTCCACCAGTACTTCCATCTTTGTAAATAAATTGGACAGCATTTAAACGGCCACTCGATTTATTGGAGCTCTGATTAAATTTAAAAAAACTATAATAGGATACCTAATTTATTTTTTGAGAGTTCTTAAATGCGAAGAGACGGCGCTGCCTTACAGCTCAAGAAATTCAAGAAAGAATTCGACACCGCCTTTAGGCCGCAGTAGCATACTGGTCAGTGCATCCGCCCGGATAGCGGAGGATGCGGGTTCGAGTCCCGTCTGCTGCCTGGTCCACGTGGATTCTTTTCTAGTATAATTTTATTTAGATTTGAACTATGAAACTTTCAACTATCAAAGCTATGCCTACAGAAAGTGAGTTTCGTGTGGCCTGGTGTAATTTATTGTGGCCCAAGCACAAATTTGGACAGATTCATAGTCGTCATCAAATTTTGTATGGAAGGAGACAGTTTGTTCTCAATCCCGGTAGATGGCGCTGCTTAGTTTTCATAGAAACTTTGACGATGCGATACGATTAAGGAGACGTAGACTTCGTGCCTGGCCCTTAGTCCAACGTAGAATTGAAAACAAAGAACTCGCTTTCTCCATTTCGATCTGTAACGTTCCCCCCGAACTGTCCAGGATCAACTTCATGAAATACGAGAAGCCGCCTGTCTCCCTGGACCACCTCCAGCAGTCGGAGACGTACAAGCTGATCCACAACATGGAGCAGCCGCCGGCGAAGCGTGTTGACATGTTGACACCTGTCATCGCCGAAGCTGACTACAGAGAGGTGAAATTCTCAAATATTCCATCTCCGTTCCGTTTTGAAGTTAATATATCTAGAGAAAATTATAGTGTAGCTACTCTATTCAATTTTATCCGAAGTATCCATAAAAAATCTAAATTAAAATGAAGTGACATTTAAAAGACCTAAAACTGTGGCTATTCCCAAACTCTGAACGCATTATAATACTACTAAATTGAAGATTAGTGATGAAGCAAATAACTTACATTGAAATATGAAATTTTGTAATAAGTCCGGTTAAGAGAGGTAGGGCTTATAGTGCGTTTCATTAAATAGTTCCTATGCCGTCATGTTGGCATTCCTGTCTGTCAACGTGTAATCACCAATCACGTTATAACATCCCTCCTGGTTAACTTGTTAACCAATCAAATTGCTTTGTTAATTTTTTTTTTATTTATTTATTTATGATCAGGCTACATAGGCCCATAGATTAATACCTTATAGTCTAACATATATACAGATATAAAAACATTATTGTTAGTAAATAGAATTAGTAGCTATGTGAGTAAACACCTAATTACCACGTATTGACGGCGACGTGTGGCGCATAGCGGTATCAGGTAACCGGCCTCGGAATCGTCTGAACACGACACCTTTCGGCCAAAGTTCTTCTTTCATAAAAGTCGCTAGATGTTCGGTCGGCACCCTCACCACAAATGAATTAAAATTCACATTGTGACGGGACTCCAACCGTGCGACCCTCAGGGAGAACTTCGTCTTCACTCGCAGGTACTCTACGATCTCCTCTTCCTTCGTACAGTAATTCAGTCGGGACACGTACAGCGACGTCGTTGGTATTGCAGGACGCAGCAGGTGGTTCGGTCCGGTCGGGGCAACACCACACAAATTGCGGCAAGCGGGCTTCCTCTTCTTCCTTTCCACCTTGATGAAGCCCTCTTCGTCGCAAATCTGATTTTGTGACACTGCCGGAGCAGCACGTTTTACGCAGAGTTTGCTATTCTTTTCTTTTGGATACACTTCGGCAGGCAGGCTGGCGACTGCAACTGCGTAAGCACGTTGCGGTGTGGACGTGCATGCACGTGACGTCTTCGGCGAGGCAGAGGGGCGGGCAGCGGCAGCGGGGAGCGGGGCATCGCGCGCGATGACGGCGACCGGTGACGCACTGGCAGGCACCGACTCAATACTGCCGATGGGTGCATTTTGCGCCCCGCGACGTGTGTTCACCTTAGAGGCCTCGGGTGACCTACTTGCACCGGCAACACTACTTAATAACGCTACCTGAGCACGCAACTCAACTATGGTGTTGTTAGAGTCCTCTCACTTGCTCACTACATCGGCCAGACTCGCTTTCAGGAAGTTGATGTCCTTCAGCAGTCTGGTGACGTCGACGTGGTCGAAAGTGACGGGGGGCAGCTTGTGCAGCTCCTTCGCCACGAATGTAGGCGCATTGTCCGGATCGGTTTCCTTCAGCAGGGTGATGATGTCCTGCACACTCTTCTCAGTACCATCCCTCCGTCTTGATGGCATCTTGTCGGCCTTCCCGACAGATCGGAACAACAGCACCTTGCCACTGCATACCTCATCCTCCTTGAAGTTTGATTTGCAGATCTGCAGGATGCTGACCTCGTCCATAGTGTCGATGGCATTTTGGATAAACGCCAACAACTCGTTTACTATGAGTTGTTCGGAACTCATAGCTACAACGGCGGATAAAGGCTGTTGCCGTGTGATACGTGAATAATAATTCTCACTGCACAGTGGCGCACGACCGTTTCTAAGCGCGCATCGCACTGCACTCAAATTGTTAACCAACAACCGCTGTGAAGTTAGCCCCCCACTTTTTGACCAACCAACATGACGGCAAAGGAACTATTTGATGAAACGGACTATAGCGGATTCCCGCTCGAATCAGAGCCGGCTAAGAGGGTGGCATGGCCACCGGCACTGTGTGTAGGAGCCATAATAAAATATTTGATAGCTAATGTATTCTATGGTTCTTTTCACTCCCGGTCTGGCTTTCTAGCTTTTTATTTATTATTACTTTTTGTTTTCAGAAGTGTCGCTCGGTGACTCCGGCCCTTGGTGTTGGCAACCACATGCCCTAACATGTTCACCAATAAGCTTAAAGACGCCCCTAAACATATTATTAAAATAAAGAATTTAAAATTTATTTATTCTAAATATTGAAAAACTTACATTGTATAAAATAGTTGTTCCTCCTTTTCACCCAAGCTCATGTTTTTCTACGTTTAATTATTAACCGATTATTTCTTTAAAATAAATTGTTTCAAACTGTCTGATGTCGTTTTATTTCCAACGTGTTTTAATATAGTCGTACTCAGAGATGTCAAAAATAAATCAACGCTTTATTTATTTTATTTTTTTTCCTAAATGGCTTCGCACGGGTTGTGCATTTAGCCAATGTCATGTGTTAAAACGTTTACAATATATATAGCACTCGTGGTCAAAGTAATAAATCAAGTCAAAGTAAGTGGCAGTCAAGTCAATCCCCCTTTCCCTATGTTTCAGTAAAAGTAAGGGGATTTACTGGAACCTCCCAATGGACTTCTTGAGGGAACGTCGAAAGACACTTTCGGCTATTTTGTTTCACTTGCCAACACTTGTGCATGTTCCCGAACACTTAGTGGTTAATAATCCACCATTATTAGACACTAACATCCGCCACAACACAATTTTTAACAAGAAAAACAAAAGTGCTAAAGTGACGCTTTCCGATTCCGCCAAAAAGTCCAATCAACGCTTTATTTTCGTTCGCTGCCGCAATGACAGCACCGACTTTAAAAGTTAATTATCATCTCTAGGTTTAGTCAATTCCTACATATTTCCCTAAGCATAGATTTTTTTACTTTCTTTTATTCGCATTGTGTAAGTTACATGATATAATGACGTTTAAATAGCTTAAAAGTCAGGGCTAGAATTTTAATGTGAGCCCCACATCCGCTCTCGAGACTGCTGCTAGATAGGTCAGGGGAGACGAAGCAGGTAGTGAAAAAAAAAGAGTCATTCCTCTACTCTTTTTAATAAAGGGAGAAGGAAGTCGAAGGCACAATTGAGGAAGAAGACAGAGGAAAAAGATAGACTGGTTAGACACTGGCCAACGCCCTGATAATAACCATCCGCATTATGAACAAATATCCGCAATAGGCATAGAACTCTGACATTGGTGTCGATTCTGACATGATTCTCTAAACCTAAACATAAATTTGACAACAGTGCATTCTTGTCATTCGCTATACAGAATGAAAAGGGGAGACTGATGTTTAATTAACTTTTAAGTTTAGAGAATCACGCCAGAATCGATACTATTGACATCCCTATCAAGGACCAATCTGCGAACAAAACGTTGATGTCAATTCTGACATTGACAATCATCTGTTACTGTCAAAGTCAATGTCATATGGGTTTTATGATCTCTCGTTGAAAACATGTTTTGGTTACGATTTCATTCTAGAAAAATACCGAAAACCAATTAATTTTATATTTCTGTGTTAATTCAATACAATAAACATAAAGAGCATTACAATGGCATCTTCTAAGGTAAATAACTTTTTGTATAAATGTAAAAAATTAATAAGTTAACTTATAATAGCATATTTAATGTGGTGACATTATTTTAAGTAAGTAGTTACTTTGATAATAAGCATGATAATGCAATAAATTAAAGTTATAAAGGTCAGTTGATGTTTGTATTAATTACCTTTTAAAACAAACTTGTAGGACATATAAACTTTAAATACATTTTTGTAGCATTAAGAAGGTTAAGGTATCGAGGTTTTCGTTCTTACGAAAGGGCTTTTTATATTTCTTATCTCCCTGTTGAGTCCTTATAGGAAAGCACGCATGTGTAAGCAGTCTGATGTTTAGGGTTAATGAAAGGGATGTTGAAAACATTTGTATTATTTTTGTAACAATTGACGAAAACACTAGAATTAACTTTGCCATCTCTAAACGGAAAACCGGACTTACCCCCTAAAAAAGCCGATGTGTGTGTCACAGCCCGACGGACGCCAAATAAAAAGGATTTTTGACTAAAGGTTTAAATAAAACACAATTTTATAAAAAAGTTTTAATTGCTATCATAATTTTTTTAATTGCATATTTAACCAAGTGTGTGCTAATAAAAGCTAGATGGGCCAGAAGCTGTCAAATTGGCCCTGACAAGAGATGAAAAAGCCTAACACTGTCTAGATTTATCTGGATGGATGATAACGCTAACTAGAATTGATTCATGAATATAGCACTTTAAAATACCATTAATTATTTTGAACACAGTGCTTAGGGATTTTAAAATTATTGTTCATTTCCAAAAAGAGCAGCTGCAGTTTATTTTGACAATAATACGAGCTTAGGTCTGCTTGGATATCAGAATTCTGTCCTGTAGAATATCTGAACTGAACTATCTGAATTGACAAACGGGCAGAGATTTATAATAGCACAGGGTTCTATAAAATAGCTTTGAACAATCTAATTTGTTAGACAAATTAACGTGTCTGTCAAAGAATTTTGATTGCTTAAGGCTATGTTTGATGCATTTGATAAACAAATTATTGAGTGACAGATAAAGTTTGTCACACTTGATTGTTAACTGGGCTCTCACTGGCCAAACTGTGTTTGTTGGTTCTGGTAATTGACACTTCACAATTTCTTGTTGAAGGTCATCTGCGCCCAATAAGTACAGTTTTACCATCATTAATATTAAGTATAAAACTTAGTATTAATATTTATTCATACACTTCACAACAGCTCTAGAGCCAATAAGTGAATATCACAGCACTTGCGTTTCTGTATAATGTAACAAATGTCTGTCTAGTCTATTTTTAAAACATCAATATTGTTATGTCAATAAATAGATTATTTTCAGCTGGAAGTGCTGGTGGACTTCGGTGACAGTCCAGACAAGCAACAGGTGGATAAAACCATCAAAGAGCTCACGTCAAGGGAAGGTGTTAAAGAGGTAAACCATACATAAGATTTATAAATACATTATTATTTATGCTGTGATGGAAATGCAAAATCTCAAGCAACTTTAAAAATGGCTAGGAGCTCGATGGCGCAAGTGGTTAGCGAGTTTGGCTGCGATTGTTGAAGTTAAGCAACTTTCGCAGTGGTCGGTCATGGGATGGGTGACCAAAAATTTACTATCTCGAGTTCTCCGTGCTTCGGAAGGCACGTTAAGCCGTTGGACCCGGCTGCATTTGCAGTCGTTAGCACCCGCCAATCCGCACTGGGCCCGCGTGGTGGGTCATGACCCAATTTCTCTATTCCATCCATAGAGAAGGCCTCTGCCCCAGCCATGGGGACATTAATAGGCTGATTATGAGGAGCTCAAGGTTATGCAGTTAGCTATAAGAACGTTGAGTTGCAGACATACCCGTTGCAAGAAAACAAGAAGTATAGTGCGATTCAAATAAGAATAGGACAGCTAATGACCTCTATATGTCAAATGTCGCCGGAAAAGTACGGTTTGCAAAAATAACTTGGCACCCTTTTTTAGCACTCCCCTTATTCAAGAATAAAAACCAAACATTTGTAAACAAACAATAACAAATATTGATAATTAATATCGGTTCATATTTTTTTCACTTATTGAGCTTTGGCCATGAATGGTTGATAACCTAAATTGTCAACCAAATATCACTTTAAGTTGCGTTCAGAAACTCAATTTTAAACTTTCGTTTACATACAGAATGCATGTTCGATGGTCACATAACCTAGTAATAGTGCATGATTATTCGTAACTACTCCGGCGGCAATGTAGAGATGAGCGGAATAGAAGAGCTAGATTCTGATTAATGTTTTTTCTCACAGTCTTAATAAATAAATATTATTAAGAATCGGTAGTTTTTTTTCTCAATTTTAGTAAATAAATGTTATTAAAAAAAACTGATGCTTTTCCTCACTTAATCTTAGTAAATAAGTTTTATTAAATAAATACTTTTTTTTGCTCACTCTACCTATTTGGTTTGAATTGACAGCTATGAAGGCGCTGGCTGAAAAATCAGCGCCTTCAAATGTGGTATCGCAAAAGCGGTTACCACACAGCATAGCAGCATATTAGGCAGCGCCCTATTGGCCTTCCACGCCACGATGTTTTTATTTATATTTTATCTTTTATCTTTAAATCTATGTTTCACTATTAAATAACCATTTGTAATTCTAAATTAATGCTGTGAAGGCTAATAAAATGTTTTTCTTTCTTTCTTTCTTTCTATGACATCACAATATGGCGCCCAGTCGGTCCTATTCTTAGTTGAATCGCATTATAGTTAGCTCACTTGATCTGCGATTGTTCATCTTTAGCAAGTTGCATTACATCTTTAATTGTTATAAAAAAATTCAGACATGAAAAAACATCCATTACTCAGTGATAGAACTAAGCATCAGTACGGCCTGGGTTTGATTTTCAGTGGTAGAACGACTTTTTTATTAATGACATTGCATCTTTTTCTCAAAATGGTGACGTTGTGAGTGTTCTAAAATCAAAACTTTTTGTGGGACATCTCAACCTGTTCATGCGCAAAGCAGCTGAAATAATAAATATTCAGTCACCCATCCTTTAATCAGACATTGCGAAAGTTGCTTTACAAGATCGCAAACATAACACCGGGCATACTGTATAGCTTTTTCTAACTCTTTTCTAAAATAGAGTTAAATCAATAGATAAAACAAGTTGAAACTTGGTATAGATTTTTAGCAGCATTTTTGCAGACCTTGCATTGGAGTGCCCGGCCTGGCGACACCAGCGCCGCGAGCTGGGATGCGGAGCCCTCTCGCTGCGGAGCATGGTGGAGGCCATGCTTCGCAGCGACAGGGCGTGGGAGGCGGTCGCCTCCTTCTGCGAGAACGTTATCTCGCAGAAGGAGGCGGCTGAGAGGGAGCGGGAGGATGATCCTCTGGCCGCTCCCTCCCGCCAAAGGAGGACGGGTAGGAGAGGACGGCGACGCGCCCCGGCTGCGCCCGTCCCATGACCCTACCCGGGGGGTCCCTCGCTGACCGGCATGGCCCTGGCCGTGCCGGCCACCGACGGGCCCCGTGACGGCAGCCCCCCTTTGTAGTTCTGTCCTGCAAAGAAGGGGCGGCGGAGGGAGCTACACGGGCACGCCCAAGTAGCCCTCCGCAGCGGACGGGGGGCGGTACGGTGGGCACTAGGCCGCGTACTCAGCCCCCACGCGCGGGCCATCCTTCGCACGTCTGCGGGGTCCCCGTGATACCCCGAGAGACCCCTGCCGTGAAGCCCCGGCTAGACCGGGAGGCTGCTAGGTGCGGAGACGCGGAAGAATCCCTAAACGGGGACCCCGGAGCTCCGTGCTAAGCAGCTTTGAGGGCATTCGCAGGACTTTTTTAGCGGATATTATACCGTAAAGCGCCCGTAAGAGTTGCGAGGTCCTTGATGGGCAGCCACTGGGGGGTTCGTAAGACTTGCGGGAGCCAGGTGTGAGGTCCGTTTGGCGGTGTGCCTCTTAAAGGCGCCGTCGTCTGTAAATAGATTTTTTACCTGCGTATTAAAAAAAAAGGCCGGCAAGGTGAGGATGATTGGTGTAGCAGTTTATAACTGCTGTACTAGCTATCTTCACGTTTGGACTTTATTACCACTTAACATCAGGTGGGGTAGAGTCATTTGCCTACCTCTATATAAAAATTTATTTATTGATGTCTCGCATCCTTTTCAGAATGCCACGTCTAAATTATGATTTGATTAACTTTGTCGAACTACCTTCGAAAGAGTAAATAAAATCATTTGTATATAAATCAAATAAAATCACATCTAAGTATAAAGTAAATAAAATGATAAAACGTCAATAAATAAATAAATCAGTGCATCTATACCGTTGAAACTTGTTTTATTTAATGAATGGTGTGCGTGAAAACTTAAGATTGATTGATTGATCGATAAAAGTGTACTTAAATTGAGTAACTACAACTCTTTCGTTACTTTTCATAAGACTATGTCATTATTGCAAAAACATAATATAAACGGGATATTCGCAACAATATTGGCAGATTCGCAGTCGGAAATATTCAAAAGTCGTATATATATATTTTGCAACAATGAATAGGGAAGATGCATATATAATACTAGCTGACTCGGCGAACTTCGTACCGCCCAAAAGTAATAATTTGCAATAAATTAAAATTGCGACTATAATTTGAGATTTAAACTATCCTATCTCTCAAGTTGGATCGAACTGCACATGGTGTGCGAATTTTATTATAATCGGTTAAGTGGTTTAGGAGTCCATTGAGGACAAACATTGTGGCACGAGATTTATATATATTAATATTTATGAAAATTTTATGATTAAAATGTTAAAAAAAAATATAAAAGAAATGCCACTGCAAGGTTTTTATTTTACAAAATGTTGTTTTTTAACAATTATTACGAATTAAAAATACTTGAAATGGAACGTATTTTAAACACACAGCAATCACAGCAATCAAAATGTAAGTGAACATATATTATTTCTCTGATAAAGATTTAATGGCGGTGTGGATTCTGGTATGTTTTTCTAGACCTGAACTTGGTTTTGCAGTGGTGTATCCTTGTCATTCTCTATACAGACTGAAAGGGGGGGACTGATGTTTGATTGGTTTTGGGTTGGGAGAGTATTGCCAGGGTCGACAACAGTGTTTAGGTAATCACATGCATGTGTCCTGCCGTTGTGTTTATAGTTTGTTATAATAATGTACACTGGTACCTATATGTATTTTTTTTTTTCTATTTTAGTAACATAGTATCCATGTGTGGTTATGAGTAGTCATGCTCTCTTAAAAATCTCTTCGGTGGTGTCGTGTGAGGCGGGTCGTTGCGTTCCCTAAAAAATGGTTGAGCGAAGCGATGGCTGGTTCATGCGTCATGCTCGTGAACGGGTGCTGCCAGCGGAGATGAGTCTGCTCTTAATTCACTGGGTACTACTATTAATCGTTGTTCTAAACTTTAATCGTTCATTATTATTATTTTCTTTTTGCCTAAGCGGTAGGACACGTCATTCCTAAACTTTGTTAAACCATTTTTTTTACATATTTTAATTTTTTATTTTATAGTCATAATTTTTATATTATTTGCATTTTTTTTTGTTTGTAATGAAAAGTGACTTTATGAGTTACCTCATATTGAAGTCATTTTTCAATTTGACGACTCTGTATATAATACAGGGAGAAAAAAACAGCCCTTGCTGAGTTTCTTGCCGGTTCTTCTCAGTACAAGGTCTCCCGCCGTAGATTTGCGAACCGATGGCGTAGCTTTTCGACATTCACAAGTGCTTGTAACAGCCTAGACTGAATAAACGATATTGAATTTTGAATTTTTTTGAATTTTAAAACACCAATCAGTGTTTAGTGACGTCACTCCTGTTATGACAACTTCTTTGAGGTTATGGTTGTTAAAGTAAATATTATTTTATGGGAATATTTATTGCGTTTTTTACATTTAATAAAAATGGAAGTTGCGTTTATCAAAGCAGAGTCCAGGAATTTACCAAAAGTTAGCGTTGACATGGTTATAACTTTTTTTGTCCAAAGTGCAGAGTTTTTAAGTGTAGAAATGAAAGGGACTAAATTACTACGGTATGCAAAAATCGTAGTTGTTAAACTTCGTATTTTATTCAGCGGCTTCTACAAATCTTACGGCGATAATGCAATCCAAATTAAAAGAGATGGAAAATTATGTACAGTAAAAGGTCGAGTTCTCCGGAGCATAAAGTACGTAAAGAAGGTTATCGTGTTACAGTTATTATAAATGAAACGCAAAGCTTGGTTCAGTCCTGCCATTGTGAAGATTGTGCCAAACATTTTAAACTTTATCTAATTTTCGACGACATTCTCCAACTTTAAAATTAAAAATATGTTATAGACAGGTTTTGTAAGTATTAGGTAGGTTACTAATGCGTTTTTACGTACAAGCAGATTAATTAAGCATATAACAAGTATATTCGCCGACTTACGTCAAAGTGATCTTATCAGCATCGAATAATGGTCTTTGGAGAATAATTGTCATTTCTCTTCGCAGCTTTTTTTTCAGTTTTGGGTCAGAAGTTCCAGTCAAAAACAATTTATTTGGGAACTTTGTTGAAGTAGATTGGCACAAAACATGAGTCAACACGGCTTTTTTTCGGAACATTAGTGGTATTGTTATGATCACATGATATGCAAAAGTCGAAAAAATATGCAAAAGTTTGAAAATTTAAAGCCAGCAACGAACAATTACGACCAGTGACAGACAGGAGTGACGTCATCGCAACCATAGGTTCGTTTTCGCGCGAAAATTTAAATTGTCAATTTAAAACCGCATTTTTTCCGATAAATCACAATGTTTTAATTTTTTAATATATCTGTGGTTTATTCTACATGGAATTCTTTAAAATGAAAACAAAAATAAAAATATTGCATCTTCCCTATTGTCGTAGTTTAATATTAATTTTGTAATTTGTAATGTAAGGATATGATGGGGCTGGCATATCTTTATACGGTAAATGCCTCTAAATAAAGAATCATCAACAGCCTATCTTAGTCCACTGCTGGACATAGGCCTCTCCAATGAGGGCTATCGCGTATGAATCCGCCGCTAGAGGCGCTAGTGTAGCGTGAGGTCTCCGAAATGTCAAATGTTATTGCTTGTTGGTTGACTACGCGGGTTTATTTCTAATTAAAATAATGTTGTGAATAATCGGTAACAATTCGGCTTAATTATAGCAAATATGAGTTATGTGGCAATGAATGTCAGTTATTAAAAATTTGAGCTTAGAAAAATGATTATGTTCCCATTTTTTCCGTATAAAACGGAACTGCGCGTCACTGTGGCATGGCCTATTATGTTTAGGATATGGTTCTTTTGTGTTAAAATACGATCTAAATGTAACCTTTGGTTTCATGTGCGTATTAATAAACTTTAAAAGTTACAATTTAGGACCTCACTCAACAGTGGCGCCATCTGGTGAGGCAGAAAACGTTAGCTCTCTTGCACGCCACTCAGATCGAAATAAAGAATAGAATAAAATAAGAATAAAGAATATTGTAAAAAAAAACTCTTTCGTCTTATAGGCACAATTCAAAGATGGAGCTATAATGGTGGAGACTTCGTTGCCAAGCACAGAAATATTGGAATTTGTCACAAAGACCTCAGGCAGGAGAGCTGTCTTACAAGGATTTGGCGGTGAGATAATCGGATTTTTGACAGACAGACAATTAGATAAATTAACACAATTAGACGACCTCCGTGGCCGAGTGGTTTGTACGCCGGGTTTCATGGTGTCGCCGTCTCGAGAGGTCCCGGGTTCGAATCCCGGAGGGGGCAGATTTTTGTGTGATGAATACGAGCATCTGTACTCCAGTCATGGATATTTAATATATATTTCTTTATAAATATACTTATATATTTACAGTATATGTATTCTATCCGTTACCCTAGCATCCCATAACACAAGCCTTATAGTGCTTTCCTTTGGGGCTAGGCTAATTAGTGTAATTTTCTAAAAAAAAATGTCCAATAACGAGTGGTAGGGAAAAATATTTTTTTGGACAATACAAAAGAATTGTACTTTGCATTCAATTTGAATAGAGATATATTGAATTTTGAACAGATGGCCAGTCTGCCGTAGCCATGGTGTCAGGACAGTCATGTTGTGGGGGTACAGTGGTCGGTGTGGTGAGGTTCCAACAGACTGGTGATGTTTTGGTAGCAGACGGTAGCATCGATGGTCTACCACCTTCTTCGGAACATGGGTTACATATACACAGCACTGGGGATTTGAGCGAGGTAAATTTATGGTCTTCTTCCTAAGGTGCTGTCCCACAATCTGTGTTGTCGCGGGCGAGGCCACGCCGCAAAGGATTTCTAAACGTATGAGAGGACTTCAACGTTTGAGTTTTTGATGTGTAACATCTTTCCTCTCGCTTTCCTGCGATTTGTGGGAGTGCTTTGGGACGGAAGTGTGTAACAGGAAGTTGCGAAAGCGCGCTAAAAACATAATGTTCAAATGGCTTAATTCCTTTTGTATTAGGTTTTATTTCTTTTTTTAGTTATATAAGGTGAGGTTTCAAATGTTACACATCATACGCGACTACTGTTAGGCTCGCTCGTTTTTTTTTATTTAGCCAGGAAGGCAAATGACTCTACCCCACCTGATGTTAAGTGAGATAAAGTCCAAACGCGAAGACAGCTGGTACAGCAATTATAAATTGCCACACCAACCATCCTCACCTTACCGGCCTGCAAAAATGCTTCTTCACCCTCTCTTAAAGGACCCTAGATTGTAGGAAGGAGGGAACACGTGCGCGGGCAAAGAATTCCACTTACGAACAGTACGACAAATACATGATACGATATAAATAGTTATCTCATACACTTTGATATGAGATTTGAACAATGTTGTTTATTTGTGTACACAAACCAAAAAAATATATATATATACGTTTGGAAACCCTGCGCGGCGCTGCCTCGCCCGCGAGAACAGAGATCGTAAGACAGCACCTTTAGCGGAGCCCAAGCGGGGATTTTTGGATTTTCTCGAAGCAGATTAACATATGGACGGCAACTTTGCCCCTTGTAAAGTTCTCCCATTATACCTGAGCCCTCTATGCAGGGCGTCCCACGGCTACCTCACACGGAGGGAAAGTACATTAAATATTGAAGATAGGATTGTTTTACTGAAAGAAGACATCATTTTAATTTTAATAATAACCAGAACTGCATTCACAGATTTTTTTAAAATCGCATGCTTCAATTGGGAATCAAACTCGTGAAATTTCAAAAAAAAAACCACGACATATTTTATGATTACAATCGAAACGGTTAATCATAAGGATTATTTTTTTGCTAAATAACATAGCATTTTAAATAAAAGAAAAGTAATTAAATTTAACATTTTATTTAAAATTATATAACACAAACTAATATAAAATCGAAAAATGAGGAGCTCGATGGCGCAGGTGGCTAGCGCGTTCGGCTGCGATCGTTGAAGTTAAGCAACTTTCGCAGTGGTCGGTCATTGGATGGGTGACCAAAAATTTACTATCTCGAGCTCCTCCGTGCTTCGGAAGGCACGTTAAGCCGTTGGTCCCGGCTGCATTTGCAGTCGTTAGCACTCACCAATCCGCACTGGGCCCGCGTGGTGGGTCTTCTCCCAATCTCCCTATTCCATCCATAGGGAAGGCCTGTGCCCCAGCAGTGGGGACATTAATAGGCTGATGATGAATATAAAATCGGACACGCCTCAAAGTTATTTAATTGTTGAGTTCATCGCGGACACGCCTCAAAGTTATTTAATCGTTGACGTTTATCATCCGCTTCTGTGGTTTCTGTAAGCGCATATCAAAACGTCCTTTTCTTAAAGTATCCACTAACATTTTAAACACATATCGAGAAGTTACGTCTCTATCAGGATATCTTTCGCGGTACCACTGCAAAGCTATTATGTATTTTGTGGTTCATAAAGTAAGCTTCCATTAAATCCATTTTATTTTGATACGCCATAGTAAGTAAATTAACAAAAAATTACAAATAAACGAAAATGAAACTCATAAAAAACAAAAGGACAGAAGCTTGAAAATTTGTTCCATTTTCGATATTTTTTTTCGAATTATTATTTTTATAAATTTCAGCCAATCGCATTGTAACTGTGCGCTCAAAAAGAAATGCATACGTACTACAGTTTGTATATCACTTTATTATTTTTATAACGTAATAAGACATTCTATTCTTTTAAAATGCTATGTTATTTATAAAAAATAATCCATATAATTAACCCTTTCGATGGTTATCATAAAATATGTTGTGTTTGTTTTTTCGAAATTTCACGAGTTTGATTCCCATTTGTAGCAGGCGATTTTAAAAAAATCTGTGAATGCAGTTCTAGTTATTATTAAAAATAAAATGATGTCTCCTTTTAGTAAAATATCCTATCTTCAATATTTAATATACTTTCCCTCCGTGTGAGGTTGCCGTGGGACGCCCTGTATAGTGACGAGCGTCTGGGACAGCAAAAACAATTTCGACAAAAATCGTCAGTCTTTGGAATAGAAGGTACCAGAGGGTTCAAGTAACATCCCTTCTCAATGTCTGACGCGTTCGAATTTTTTTTTCCTAGATTCTACCATTCATACGTACGGCCACCTCCACACCATGCAAACAAGAAGATTAATATTCTTACCGTCCAACGATATTAAATACCCTATATACACCAAAATGTGTCCCAATCAAGAAGTGCTTGAACACGACTGAAGCACTTCTTGGTTCACAGTCACCCGCGGAACGTTGCAAAGCGAAGATGCCGCCGAGCTCCGTGAAAAAATTGGAAAAAAATGCATAAAGTACGTAAAGTGTCGTTTTTCGACAGGTATCTAATCAATATTTGTTAATTTAACGCATTTCAAGCAAATTTGTACTAATACTTACTATAAACTGATTTAATAGAAAATACTTGTGATATTCAAATGCATAGTTGGTTATATAGCTGTCTCTTTTCCTCGCGGTCCATTCCTGCTATATTGCTAACAGCGCATTCAGAATTGCTCATAGAGTCAAACAAATAAGGTCTATATTCTTTCGCATATCACCATAAGTCGTAAAATTGTACGAGCCTCCATTTCGAACTATTATAACTCTTTGACGCATGCGTTTTAATTAAGGCCTTACGTAGTATGTATTAAAGGTGACTTTCAATATTTAAATCATGTTTTATATTGTTTTTGACAACGCGATCATCTTACGGAGCTCCGTGGATCGTTCAATGTACCTTTTGGACAGGTTTCGGCCACGATTTTGTGCATGTTGTTGTATCTATATAGGGTATTTATTAATGTTTGTTTCGGTCCTCAGAAACGTTACGTGAATTCTCAAGTATCTCTTATTCAAAAGACTGACGATTTGGATGAGAGCAATAGTCGTGACCATCAGTTGAAAATTTTTTTGCTGATCATCACTATATACAGGGTGTTACAAAAATACATATAAATTTGAAGGGCGTTGAAGTACATCATATAAGAGGTCTTCTCTAATTTTCTTAAAATATTTGCATGAAGTTTTAACTTTTTATAAAAACAGTTATTTTTAATGATCCTCGAACTAGTGACGTGTCTTAAAAAGATCGATATATTTATTCATCATTAAAAATAACTGTTTTTATAAAAATTTAAAACTCCATGCAAATATTTTAAAAAAATTAGAGAAGACTTCTTATATGATGTACTTCAACGCCCTTCAAGCTTTATTTGTATTTTTGTAACACCCTGTATAGGGTTCAGGTATGGTGGGAGTTCTTCACAAGTAAATTCAAAAATCCCCAATTGGGATACCCTACTGTTATAGATGCTTACATAAACCGCTAAAATTTACAGAACCTCGGTAACTAATACTGCCGTCCTCAAACTAAAACGGATTCTTTTCAACCTCCTTGGTTGTGATTGGTTGTATCAAAAGTCACGTGATTTCCATAGCTAATTGTTATTTTTTATATTTTATATTATTTTATTTATTTATTAATTTACAGTCAGGCAACGTAAGCCCATAGATTCATACCTTAAAGTCTAACATATATACAGATATAAAACATAATTAAAAACCTTATTGAACACGTATTGACGGCGAAGTGTGACGCAGAATGGTATCCGGTATCCGGCCTCGGAACCGCCGGAACACAACACCTTTCGGCCAAAGCTCTTGTTTCATAAAGTTCGCTAGGTGTTTGGTTGGTACTCTCATCATCATCAGCCTATTAATGTCCCCACTGCTGGGGCACATGCCTTCCCTATGGAGGGAATAGGGAGATTGGGCCATGACCCACCACGCGGGCCCAGTGCGGATTGGTGGGTGCTAACGACTGCAGATGCAACCGGGACCAACGGCTTAACGTGCCTTCCGAAGCACGGAGGTGCTCGAGATAGTAAATTTTTGGTCACCCATCCAATGACCGACCACTGCGAAAGTTGCTTAACCTCAACGATTGCAGCCGAACGCGCCAACCAGTTACGCCATCGAGCTCCTAGAATTAAAATTAATATTATAGATATATGAATATAAATGCACATTTACCATTATATATTATCAGTGTTGCCATTAGTTTCAATATTTAAACGACATATTATGTGGTACATGTAGGTAATAAACTCAATTTATACTTTTTTTATGAATTTGGCGTATTTTTCCACACATAAATGCATTACAATACTTGAGGTACGAAATTGGGCAAACTGAGCCTGGCCAAATGACAAAACCAACTTTTGAGATATGACCAAAAAACTGAGTATAAACCTTAAATTATTGCTATTTCGTAACCATTCATCTTATAATGACGGTTTTTTACACTTAAACTTTAAAAGATACGAATACTTGTTGAAGACAGATCGATAGAGAATTAAAAACTGTATAAGATGCAATTTAAGACCACTTTGAGGACGGCAGTATGGAGAAAATCCTTTATTATAGCTATTAACGTGATTGTTGATTTGACCGATTGAAATAACCAAACACAAGAATTCAATCGTGAGGATGGGTTTAAATTGTCTGGAATCCAGTGGTTCGTATGTGTAAACACTTACAGTATCATTCAATGATACGCAAAAATCAGCTATCGCGTGACTTAAATAAATAAATTACGTGAGATGTTTAAGGGGGTCAAATCTCATCTAATCTTACGTTGGAGAGGGGGGGGGGGGGGGTCGAGTCAAATATTTAAACAAAAAAAAATACTATTTTGGTCCATTTAATCCAGATTGTACACATGCTTAAGATTTAATCTTAAGCGTAATCGCAATACGATTAAGATCACTATCTCGTTCGAAAGAAATAACTCTCAGCAATCTCTCTTTACTAGTCGTAAATAAAAGCACGAAGCCTTTTTTTTTCTTTTTACAATAACAATCCAACGCATTTACGTAAGAAACCCACATTTTGAAAAATCTCACGTGAGATTGGGGGTTGGGGGAGGGGGTTGAATAAAATCTCACGACATCTCACCAGCGGGGGAGGGAGGGACAGAAAATTCAAAAAAACACCTCAATAATTAATAATAAGTAATTTATGGACGCCCCCTAATCACTGGATTGACCTCCATAATCCACAAATCATCTCGACAGAACGCCACTACATACCAAGATTGGTCAGGGAAGCGATTGAAATAACAAAACACAAGAATTTCAATCGTGAGGATGGGTTTAAATTGTCAAGTGTCTGGAATACAGTGGTTCGTATGTGTAAAAACCGCAAAATCCAAAAAAGTGTCGTTCCGCGATCTGATACTATGAGTATTGTATGTCGGGAACAGGTGCGAGTGAATAGTGTACAAGTAAAATGCAAGTTGATTTAATCCATAGGTCGCTGGTTCAAATCCGGCTCGAAGGACCACTACTTGCATGTACAAGTAAAATGCAAGTTGATTTAATAATTTATTTTGTTTTTCTAAGGACTGCACATGCAGTTGCAACGAGACACAGGACGGAAGAGAGTGATGTTGCCATCACTAAAATATTATTATGCATTGACCTGTGTAGCCATATGAAAAATCTTATAAAATGTAATATTTTAAATTTATGTTGGAAATTAATCAAATAAATAGTGAGAATGTGATCAATGGTAGGGGTATCGAACGCAATAAATTACGACGTCAGAGGGTAGACCGATATGTGAGCCAATAACAGCCTACCCGCAATTACTTCAGTTACTCCGTGATCATGGCGTTTGCAACAGTGCCGAAATATCGGAGACTCATGAAAAACAAGGTACATGGTAACAATCCCGTTAATAGCTATAATGTTAGTGACCATGAAAGTTTAAAACAACATAATCCGTTACTTTCATTTTTCCGTTTTTTTTTTCAAATAACAATAGTTATTCGTTACTCCCTTATTTTAGGGATGCAATTCAATAGGGGATCATTACAACCCCTTGGGCAGTCCGCACGGTGGCCCACAAGACTCCGCAGATCGGAGGCATGCGGGTGACTTGGGAAATATAAGGGTTGGTGACAATGGCAGAGCCACTTTCAGGATTACGGATAGAATTTTAAAGGTAAGTGTACTCTGTGTGTTAAATTCTGATGGGTAAATATTAATTCAGAAATTCAATATTAATCTAAATACTAAAAAGTAATAACAACAGTAATAATTAATAATTTTTGGTGAATGATAATATTATATATAGTTATATTATAATAACTTATCAATAATAATTTAATAATCTTTTTAATTTAATAAAAATATAATCTAATTTAATTCTCCTAATAATAAATTAATCACGTCACGTCGATGTCGTTTCACGTTACGCGCTTTCTAGGCAGAACTGAAAACCAGTGCTTTGCTCTTAGAGCAAAGGTATCGCTGAGTTTTTGCCTTTTTCTGTCGTTGCGGCACACAGTTACATACCTAGTAATTTATTGTTCTATTTTTTTACTTGAATTTGTGTGCTGTACTGATGGGAATAAATGATTTATCTATCTATCTATCTATCTACTCTCAACTCTATCTTAGACAAAAGGTGACTTAGACACAAACAAATGTTTCTAAACAATAACAATAAGAAGTATTAAGAATGTCTTCAGTTTCAAGCTTTAGTTAAAGAATTTTTTAGTTGACAAATCCCATTATACAATAGGGAAGATGCATATATAATATTTATGAAAATCTTATGATTAAAGTGTTAAAAAAATATAAAAGAAATGCCACTGCAACGTTTTTATTTTACATAATGTTGTTTTTTAACAATTATTACGAATTAAAAATACTTGAAACGGAACGTATTTTAAAACACCAATCAGCGTTTAGTGACGTCACTCCTGTTATGACAACTTCATTGAGGTTATGGTTGTTAAAGTAAATATTATTTTATGGGAATATTTATTGCGTTTTTTTACATTTAATAAAAATGGAAGTTGCGTTTATCAAAGCAGACTCCAGGAATTTACCAAGAGTTAGCGTTGACATGGTTATAACTTTTTTTGTCCAAAGTGCAGAGTTTTTAAGTGTAGAAATGAAAGGGACTAAATTACTACGGTATGTAAAAATCGTAGTTGTTAAACTTCGTATTTTATTCAGCGGCTTCTACAAATCTTACGGCGATAATGCAATCGGCTATGTCCAAATTAAAAGAGATGGAAAATTATGTTCAGTAAAAGGTCGAGTTCTCCGGAGCATAAAGTACCTAAAGAAGGTTATCGTGTTACAGTTATTTTAAATGAAACGCAAAGCTTGGTTCAGTCCTGCCAATGTGAAAATTGTGCCACACATTTTAAACTTTAACTAATTTTCGACGTCATTCTCCAACTGTAAAATTAAAAATATGTTATAGACAGGTTTTGTAAGTATTAGGTAGGTTACTAATGCGTTTTTACGTACAAGCAGATTAACTAAGCATATAACAAGAATATTCGCCGACTTACGTCAAAGTGATCTTCTCAGCATCAAATAATGGTCTTTGGAGAATAATTGTCATTTCTCTTCGTAGCTTAAAACCACTTTTTTCAGTTTTGGGTCAGAAGTTCCAGTCAAAAACAATTTATTTGAGAACTTTGTTGAAGTAGATTGGCACAAAACATGAGGCAACACGGCTTTTTTCGGAATAATAGTGGTATTGTTATGATCACATGTTGTTGATGGATAGTCCATTTTAAATTTTTCAAAAAAATATTTCGAAAGTCGAAAAAATATGCAAAAGTATGAAAATTTAAAGCCAGCAACGAACAATTACGACCAGTGACAGACAGGAGTGACGTCATCGCAACCATAGGTTCGTTTTCGCGCGAAAATTTAAATTGTCAATTTAAAACCGCATTTTTTCCGATAAATCACAATGTTTTAATTTTTTAATATATCTGTGGTTTATTCTACATGGAATTCTTTAAAATGAATACAATAATAAAAATATTGCATCTTCCCTATTATGGATTTTTTTTTCTTATATGGCTTCGCACGGCTTGTGCATTTAGCCAATGTCAAGTGCTAAAATGTTTACAAATACTATGGCACTCGTGGTCAAAGTAATAAATCAAGTCAAAGTAAGTGGCAGTCAAGTCAATCCCCCTTTCCCTATGTTTCAGTAAAAGTGTGGGGATTTACTGGAACTGCCCGTGGACTTCTTGAGGGAACGTTAAAAGACACTTTCCGCAATTTTGTTTCACTTGCCAACACTTGTGCATGTTCCCGAACACTTAGTGGCTAATAATCCACTATTATTAGACAATAACATCCGCCACAACACAATTTTTAACACAAAACTGCTAAAGTGACGCTTCCCGATCCCGCCAATAAGTCTAAGGAATTTTTATCTGACAAAGAAATTTAACAATGACATTCTGGGTACCACTTGACATTTATATATATATATATACAGTTTATATATAGTTTGTGTGATGAATACGAGCATTTGTACTCCTGACATGGATGTTTAATATGTATTTTTATATAAATATACTTATATATGTATCAGTATATGTATTCCTTCCGTTACCCTAGTATCCCATAACAAAAGCCTAATAGTGCTTACTTTGGGGCTAGGCTAATTGGTGTGAGTGTTGGAAATATTTATTTATTTTATTTTGTATTGAATACACAAAAAGCGCTGTAGAAACTTTGTTAAAACTAAATTAAATAAATCAGTTTTGGATAAATTGAGCTGGGGTTTGACATATTTGGGATACTTAGCTTACATTTTCCATAGGTTTGGGATATAATTGGGCGATCAGTGGCTGTATCGGAGAAAGAAGATGATCTGGGTAGAGGGTCCTCCCCTTCGTCCATCGTGAATGGGGACAGCGGAAAGGCGTAAGTGTAACATGGCTTTAAAAAAATCTATGAGCTATTTGACAATATTAAAAATAAAGTGTCAAGTGTCGACAATATGTACAGAACATATACAGGATGGTCCAATTAGTGACGTCAACAATTTTTTTTTATATTCCTCGCACCTGGGGCTATCCGAAAATACCCTAAGTATGTTCCGCGAATTTTTCTTAGTTTTCGAGTTATAATTTTTTTTGTGTATTTTTAATGATTTCTGCCAGCGAGGTTTCAAAACTTCATATCTGTTTTCGTAATAGGTATTTTGCAGTCTTTTTTTTGTCACATAATTGTCTTGAATGTAAAAAAAAATAACTCAGCTTCCTGAAATTAAATCTAAAGAAAATATAACTAGAAAAAATTCCACGCGGACCAGACAGCAGACGGGAAATTCCTGAAATTACTTAAAGTTACTCAAAAAAGGCTTGAAAGTCTTCAACCTGAATACACAATTGACAACGTCTTAAAAAGTTATGTTTTAAGTGTCTGAAGCTACTTGAACATTCTTGCTTTAATTTTCTCTCCGCTTCTGTAAGTTTTTGTCTCAATTCTTGTTCGCATCTTAAATCTTAGTGGTGGAACCGAAATTATTGTAAAATTACACATGCTAAAGTTATTTTACAGGAATTTCAATTAAATTTAATTTGAAATTACATTTTTAAGTTTAATTTACCATAACAATGATAAAAAGTAGATAAACTATTTTTTAATGCTTTAATCATGTTTCAATGATTTTTAGCCTATCTGCCTTCGAAGGCCAAATACAACAAAAATAATGGCTGATTATGTACTATTTTTTTATGATTTCTGGTAGTTTAGAAGCATGCAGAGTTTTTAATTTTAGCCAGAAGCTATGAAAACTCCTTGTATTTTTAAATTGAAGTTGAATGTTTGACTAAATCCTACTAAAAACTAAAGTTCCAACTTTCAAGCCTTTTTTGAGTAACTTTAAGTAATTTCAGGAAGCTGAGTTATTATTTTATTAAAACAACATTCAAGACAATTGGGGCCGTTCAAGTATTACGTAAGCAGATTTATTACAATTATTTACCCCCTCCCCCTCGTCAGCAAAAGTAAGCAAAGCTCTTACTCCCCCCCCCCCCCTCCCGTGCTTACGTAAACATTGGTACCTATATGCGTTTTTCCTAAGGTATTCTGTTTTTTTTATTCATTCATGAGCTTCGTGAGCAGCAGTACTTAAATAGGCTTAGGATAGAGGACTTTAACGCACATAATATTCATTGAAACAAACTTTATTGACACAGTATTCAACATTGAGTAAGGTACTATTACGAACAAAACCAACTTCTTTCGAATTTTTGGTATATATGTACTTATACAATCTTCAGTCCATGACACCCGAATCCATGATGCTGACGTAATCACTATCTCGACCCCCCCCCCCCCACCCCCCATGTCATCAAAAATAAGCAACGCAAAGACCCCCCTGCCCCCCTATAGTGCTTACGTAATACTTGAACGGCCCCTTATCTCAAAAAACAAAGACTGCAAAATACCTACTACGAAAAAAGATATAAATTTTTGATACCTCGCTGGCAGAAATCATTAAAGATACACAAAAAAAATATATAACTCGAAAACTAAGAAAAATCGCGGAATATGCATGGAGTATATGTTTTTATTTATTTTTAAGCATTTAACTGCTAGATGTTTAAATCTAAAGAAAAGTTTACAAAAAAAATCCACGCGGACCAGGCAGCGGACGGGACTCGAACCCGCACCCTTCGCAATCCGGGCGAATGCACTGACCATTATGCTACCACGGCCCTATTACATGGAGTATTTTAGGATACCCCCAAGTGCAAGGAATCTAAAAAAATTGTTGACGTCACTAATTGGACCACCCTGTATATGAGTGATGCGTGCGCTGCTCCATTCCCCTACGCCTTATGCACCGCCTAATGTAAGGTTATTTAAGAAAAGAAGTTTCACTTCAGATGTGTTCTCCGTGCACACTATTTTATTTATTACTAAAATTTTCTTTTGATTTATAAACAGTCTTTTTTAATTCATTGACCAATAGGGGTGATGACGGGGTACAGTAAACTAAATACTATTTGGTCCGTCAGTTAGATGATCTAAAAATAATGGACACTTATTTTTTCTTTGGGCAATCAACCAAAAAATGACAAAGTTATAGCGCGTCAAAGTTTGGGAGTAGGGGCTCGTGACGTCACTTTTGAGTGAATTTTCACTTATAAGTGTACTCAAACGTGACGTCACGCGACTTTTCAAATCAAATCTACCTGATAAACGAAGAAAAAAAAATTAGTCATCATCCCTATTATGCTGCCACGGCCCTGATGGCCGCGTCGAAATTTTCCTAGCCTTAAGCTGCAAGGCAGCGCCATCTCTTCGCATTGTAGGTAACGCACAATGTCAAATGAATACTTTTTCAAGTATTAAACATTTGAAAGAAGAAATAGCAATTATAGTTATGTTTTTATTTTTTTAAGCATTTAATTGCTAGATGTTTAAATCTAAAGAAAATATAACTAGAAAAAATTATGGGTTACCTATAATGAGAAGAGATGGCGCTGCCTTGCAGCTTAAGAATGGCTAGAAGAATTTCGATGAAGTCCGTGAGGGCCGTGGTAGCATAATTGGTGAGTGCATTCGCCCGGATTGCGAAGGGTCCCGTCGAGTCCCGTCTGCTGCCTGGTCCGCGTGGAATTTTTTCTAGTTATATTTTCTTTAATTAAAGTTATGTTTTGATTTTTTTAAGCATTTAACTGCTAGATGTTTAAATCTAAAGAAAAACTTTTACTAGAAAAAAATCCACTCAGAGATGGCGGCGCTGCCTTGCAGCTTAAGGCTAGGAAAATTTCGACGCGGCCATCAGGGCCGTGGTAGCATAATTGCTCAGTGCATTCGCCCGGATTGCGAAGGGGGCGGGTTCGAGTCCCGTCCGCTGACTGGTCCGCGTGGATTTTATTTCTGGCAGTTAAATGCTTAAAAAAAAATAAAAAACAACAATCTTTTTATGCTTAAAATATGAATGTTATTATAAACTATCTTCGTATTAAATCTAAAGAAAAGTTTACTAGAAAAAAATCCACGCGGACCAGACAGCGGACGGGACTCGAACCCGCATCCTTCGCTATCCGGGCGAATGCACTGACCATTATGCTACCACGGCCCTATTAGGCGCGTCGAAATTTTTTTCTAGTAAACTTTTCTTTAGATTTAAACATCTAGCAGTTAAATGCTTCAAAATAAAATAAAATCATATCTTCGTATTGTTTTTGTAGTATCGCCTGTGGTGTAATAGCACGGTCAGCTGGTATATTCCAAAACCCCAAAAGGATATGCGCTTGCGACGGCATTGTTGTATGGGACGAAAGAGATCGCCCATTAGCAGGCAAGGGAAGGAGAGAGGCGAAAAAATGTTGCCAAAATCACTCCTCTCCTAAAGGAGAAAATATCAGGGAGAACCACCACGTCAATGGGGAAAATGGCATTGACGAAGGAAGAGAATTGAAGGCGTCTTGTAAAGTTTGAGTTTTTCAGTGCGGTTTGAGGACTTAATGTGTTTACGGTGTATTGTTTTAGCCTCTAATTAATAAACCAGGAATAAGCTAAGACTAGTTACGCCGTGTTTTTAGGGTTCCGTACCTCAAAAGGTAAAACGGAACCCTTATAGGATCACTTTGTTGTCCGTCCGTCCGTCTGTCAAGACCGTTTTTCTCAGGAACGCTTCGAGGTATCAAGCGGAAATTCATATCTAATACTCAGGTGTACTGTCCCTTGGAGTTGTGAAAAAATCTAACTTCTAAGCCAAAGCAATCAAAAGATACAGCCGTTTATGCCGCAAATTTCTGCAAATTTGCGAAACTTGCACGGGAATCAAAACCTACAGGGCGTTTCCCGTGAACTTAGAATCTTGAAATTTGGTAGGAAGTAACGTCTTATTTATTTACTCTTTATTGTCATTTACAACAAATGGCGGACTTAATGCCCCATGGCATTCTCTACCAGTCAACCATCGGGCTATGCAGAGACATTCTGCGGTAAAGTAAATAAAAGCAAAAGGTGAAAGGAAAAAAAAATTAAATTAATAAAACTACATGATACTTAATATAAAAATTATAATACGTAACATCTATAAATATACCTACATAACTACAGTACAGATAAAGGCATAGTACAGATAAAGGAAAAAATGCGAAAACCGTAAATTTAAGTTACATCATATAATAAAAAATATTTTTGAAAATTCAGGTTTGTACGGAACCCTCGGTGCGCGAGTCCGACTCGCACTTGGCCGGTTTTTTCATATCACTCAAAAGCAATTTGTCATTCAATGAACACAGACAAAATATGGAGTAACTAATCCAAGGTTATTCTTCGTTTATTAATAAGTCTCGCCGCACACGGGCCACCGACCACAACCACAAAACGCCGCCACCGGCATATTGCTTGTAGTTTTCATACATTTTATATGGACTCGCCACACACGGCACGCCGCCGGTGACACGCTACAAATCGTCGTTGCTCGCTTCTTGTGGCCCGCACCGGCCACTTAATGCGCCGATACAAAACGCCGCCACACGTCACTCGCGCGATTCCCCACCCCTTTCTCCCTTACCTTAGTCGGCCGCTGTCGCGCGCTTCAGCCACTTTAGTAGCCGCTTCTAGCTTCTCGTGGCGGCGTTTGTGGCTATGGCGTGTGGCCCGTGTGCGGCGACACTAAGGGGTTTAGAGTTTAGGTATTGGTGTATTTTATTTATTGATAATGTGATAAGTGTTTGTTTTGCGCAGTCAACACAAAGTATTTTTCATCAACACTTACTGTATACTCACCATATTCGTGTAAGTGCCATAGAGGAATAAGAATAGAGTGGGGAAGGCGGCTCTAAAAATGTCCGTCTAGTAGAAAGAGACAGAAGATGAGACACCGCTAGCTATCTCTCTCTTGTGACGCATGGCATCCAATGGCATAACATCAAAATAGTACGATGCTTACGGTTGCCAATGCGCATGCGCGATTAGAGAGAGAAAGCTAGCGGTCTCTCATCGTCTTTCTCTTTCTATTTCCACTTGTAGTAGAGTCTGTAGGAAGGCCAAAGAGGAAGATCTTCCTCCGAGCTGGTAGCTCGGGGGCCGCGGCCCGACTGATGTTGGTCGGGCATTGTATATATGAACTGTTGGCCGCCGAATTTCACTTGTGCGATGTAGGCTTCATACTATTTGAGTGCAGCGCCGGTAGCGCCATCTCTTGAAGAGGCGAGTGATTAATTCCTCTATGTTGGTTATATGCGGGGCATATAGATGTCGCCGCCACAGAGTCTATATTTCCCCTACTCTATTCTTATACCTCTATGGTAAGTACCGAGATTGACTTTCACGCGCATTGTTTGCAGTGACAGTTTAAACACGAAGGCGCCACCTACTGGTGGTTGCCAGCACTACGGTTTCTAGCCCAAGCAATAAAGTCATGTAATAAAAACCAAAATTTTGCCGTACTCTTAAGTCTTAAGATCTGAACCTAAATCGACCTTCACCGAGCTGATAATAGAATGAAATTTATTTTATCATGAATTAAGTATATTAGAAAATATATTAAAAATGAGTTGCCTAAAAAATCATGGACAGACTATTTTTAATTAATAAAATAAATATATGAAAAAGCCTTGAATGAAAAAACCTTTATTATATATATATGTTTAATTAAATGTTGCAACATCAATATAATAAGATAATGTTGTCCTAAAATCAGTATAAAACGTATAAAATGTGCAGCCGTTGGGTTGTCTATATTATTTACCTGGACGAACTACTGGGGTGCCAGGTATAAACAGGTATGTCCATGCCAGTTACATTTCCCAAAAGTCAGGACAATATTTTCTTATTATCTTGATGAAGCAAAGATTTTTTAACATTTTTTAAAAAATTATCAAAACTGGTCTGTCCAAGATTTTTTTGGGCAACCCAATTTTAATGTATTTTGTAATTCATATACTAAAGTCATGATAAAATATGTTTCATTCTATTATAATATATCAGATCGGTGAAGGTCGATGGAGGTTCGAATCTTTTACTATTAGTAACTATGCAAATTGCAAATTTTTGTAATCCTATAAGTCACAACTAAGTACATTTTAATTAGAGTAAATAAAATATTTGTGGACTTGAAATAAAGTGTGATATAAGAATGTCCCTTCATAAGTATATTTAAGACTAGTTTTTCTGAATAATTGTGATACTATATCTTTCATATCTATTAAATCTTGAAATAAGTAAAAAAAACTATGTCAGATTTTTTCCTGCATTATCTCTAAAAACTATTATTTTAGGGTTGGAAGACTATCGATAAAAACCAATGTCGATAAAGTTTACAACACGTTGTATTATTCATGTGAATGTATTGTAGTGTTGTCTCAGTGAATATTATTTTTAAATATTATAACACACAATAAGACGGCTCAGCTGATGGTAAGTGATCACCGTCACCTGCAAGACCAGGAGTATCACAAATGCGATGCAGGCCTTTAAGGAAGGAGTACGCCCTGTTTTTGAAGGTTTTCACGGAAACACTGCTAATGACAATGTATTCCAAAGTTTTATCTTACGTGGTGTGGTACTTATTTTTTTATAAAGACATTTCGATGTTATTGCAACTAACGAAGGTCCCGGGAAACATGCTTTTTATAAAATTTACAAGCTCCGTTAATATCGGAAAACCTATAATGTGGAACTTCAACTTAATATGTACAACTTTTAAAAACATATACATAGGATTTAGGACTGAAGCTGGAAGTGGACGTCCCGAACGGTTTCATAAATAAAATTATGCTAAAAAATTTGATCTAATATTGTATACAAAGAAATAAAATGTTGTGTCCATATTGTTTTGTAATGTAATGTATATCTTAGTTCGGCAAAATGCTTTAATAAAATTATTTTGTTATTGAAATTGTAATTGTTTTTTCTTATTTATTAATTAGGTATTTTCAAGTAAAGGCCTGCTGCCCATGTCTTGAAAAATGTTATAGATAATATTGCGTTTTGCAAAGTCGATCACACTCAAGTAGCTCTATGTTTGCATGTAAACGAGACTTACTTAAAGGGTATTAATTTCTGAAATAATAACTATTATTTTTAAATCTACATTCCTTTATTTCTCTCTTTCTCAATTATTGATATTTTTATTATACTTTTTGGGTACAGGAACAATAAAGATAATATAGTGCAAACTATATCACGATTTTGAAATTAGAACTATTATTGGATCCATATTTATCTACTGTACGTGGTGGTCAATTCAACCTGTTTGGTTTACAAAATAAATTATGCATTTTTTTATTTATATATAAAACTAGCAGCGCTCAGAATTTGGTGATGTATGGTATCTTATACCTTAACAAAATTTTAAATCAATTATCGTGTTCAATGAGGATGTTTAAGAAAGTGTACGTCACTAGTTGGCGCCACTATGGCATGAGGCCTTTTGTATGAGTTTTTTGGCGCGAATTATTCAAACGAGATTTTTTAATCTGAATTGATCCATGGACTAAGAAGATACACGCGATTTGACTTATGAGTAAAGCTTTCAGCTCAGTGCTGCCACCTGGCGATCATAATTCCAGAATACCCATATTGGTAAGATAAAGAGAAGAATTATATTATGGTTAGATAAGAATACTTCCGTTATTAACAGATATTTTGGCGGGAATTTTGTATTTGTCATTTTAGGAGGTTAGCCGCTTAAATTGTGTAAAAGTAATGAAGTATTTTATTGTTCCATATACCCATACCATTCGGCAACAGCACACACAAAATGATAAATATTATGTTATATATAGTGAATAGATAACAATATCTAAGTCCAGTCAGAATTATAACCTATCTTTGGTTGTGGAAAATCTGTCGTTAATAAGTACTGTCTACATTAAAGAAATGCCTATGATAAGAATCAGCGTTTTAAACTTTAATGATATTTGAGATTATTTGGTTCTGAACGTAACTAATCACTTCAGCAGCCAATTTTAATTTCGACACGACATACGTTCAAAAAGTTACATCAACGACAAATTTTCCTTGAGTCGAGTAGTTTTTACACAGCATCATACAATTATTCGTACAAACAGCAGCTTCTCAGGCTAAAGTGAACAAATCTGTCAAAATCTTCGAATTATTTTTAACCATAGTAGTTACTCAGGATTAAACTTTGAAATCTAGTGAAGAATTTTGTCATATTTGTTGTTCGTACATATTTTCCATAGGTACACAGAAGCGTCAATATACGAAAAGCCACACAGTGAGGTACTTAATCATCCCCAACAACTTTATTTGGTCACAAACGATTTTCCTTTTGTAAACTTGTAACAAAGTCACGATTAATATTACAATATTATAAAAGCACCCGTAGCCTGAAATAAAGAAAATAATAAACGTCATAACTGACATCAATAGTGTTAAGACGATGTCGATAGTATTATGTATATCGATAGAATTGTCCATAATTAATCGCATTAAATTATTTTTGCATTTCGCACTGATATAATATTGCAATAACTTCAATCACACAAAGCTTGAATCACATTGTGCAAGCATTTAAAATAGGATAAATCTAAGAAACTTGACCAATGTGAAATCAGGCTTGTATTACCATATTTTTAACCGCACTGCCAGACAATAACAAGCAATATTCCTACAATATGCGGTTAAAATCGAACAGTCTTACTTACAATCCAGTCCTTCTCACAAACAGACTGAAGGATTTCCTGTACACGATTGAACACATCAATTAGCTATATTATCGTGTAAAATTGTTCCAAACGATCATTGTCTTTTTTTATTTTTATAACATAATATGCTTTATAAAGAAGGTCTTTTGAAATGTTTAATTAAAATTTATTATTTATGTACAGACAGCATATCAGACTATTCATTTAGCTCACTTAAACATATAGATCGGGGCAAATTTCTTGAGCAAACCCACAAACAAAGAAACTTGGGCAGTCGACGTTTTCGTATATAAAATTACTACTGCGCAGGCTCTTGTCTACGGGTGCGGCCAGAGTGCACTCAGATTCAGATTCAGATTCCGAAAACAAGCGCGAGAAATAAACAGTGTAGTCGAAGGGTACGGCCAGAGTGCACTCCTGATTCAGATTCAGATTCAGACTCAGAAAACAAAGCGCGAGAAAAAGCAGGCAACCTGCTTAGACTACACTGTTTATTTCTCGCGCTTGTTTTCAGAATCTGAATCTGAATCTGAGTGCACTCTGGCCGCACCCTAATGTCGTTACTCAAGAATTTTGCCGGGATGTATACATAAGTACAGTCGAGTATGCATTTTAGGATGAAATTTGAGATTGGTGCCGATTCTGGCATGATTCTCTAAACTTAAAATTAAATTTAACATCAGTCTCTGCTTTTTATTCTGTATAGAGAATGACAAGGATACACTGTTGTCAAATTTAAGTATAGGTTATGAGAACCATGCTAGGATTGACACCATTAATAGCATATTTTAATGTAGCAATAACCATATATTGCAAGCGCCTATTAATGTGTGGTATAAAGTTTAAGTAGGTACAAAATCACTCCACTGACTGTGCAACCTATGTACTAAATTAAAAAGACCTTGTATTTTAGTATATATAGTATAGTATACATAATTATTATTTTATAATTATTATGGCAGTCAGAAATAAAGGGTAGGTACGTGAAAATGACTACAAATATTTTTTGAAATTTATACGCTACATACATATCATATGTTTTATTGAAGAGAAAGACGACATGTATATTTTTTTACGTTTTTTTCTACCTAACTAGGTATTTAATTGGTATTGTCTCCGCCCGTGGATGATTTAAGTGGAAATCAGACTCCAAATTAAGCTAACAAAAACTGACAAATCTTAATAGCTGTTGAACGCTATGACAATCAAATAAGTTAAAATTAAAAAGCAAAACGAGTTTGTCAATTTAGTAAGTTATTTGTTGTTTGTACTGTTTTACTCACGTCTTGATCCTGTCTAGAAATTAATACAGATTTGCACGGGAGGACAGATTAAACTACCAATTTGTTTCTTAGGTTTTCACGCACATCACTCATTAAATAAAACTAGTTTTTACGGGTTAATGCACGAAACTTTATTTATTTATTGACGTTTCGTAGCCTTTACAGGCTACGTCGTCAGAATAAAACTTTTATTTAATTTATCGAGCTACCTTCGAAAGACTTTTATTGAGCGTTTGGTTATTTCATTGTTCGATTTTTAAGTTTTATTGTCTATGTATGAATTTATTATTTAATTTACTTAATAAAGTATTTTATTTAAAATTTTTGTTTGTAATTTTGAGTTTATTTATTTGACCCTAACTACCGTAAACTACCACCGGTTCCAAAATTGGGAGACCTTCCTGAGAAGAACCGGCGAAACAAACTCAAGAGAGGCTTTCTATCTCCTTCTTATGTTAAATTATGCAATAAATAAATAAAGTTTTCGTGCATTAACCCGTAGAAACTAGTTTTATTTAAACTACCAATTGTTCGAAGATTGCATAATCTTGAAAGTGATCTGCTATAGGTTCACAAATACAGTATTATTACTTATAAATGGCACATAATTATACGATCATCAAAAAATAATAATTGTCCCTCAAAATAATACAATTGGTTACCTAACATAACCTTTAGGTAACCAATTGTATACTTAAGTGATTATTTATTTGAAATTATCAAAAAACATCCAGATACATTTTAATAATAAAGAAATCGATACAATAAATTACTAGGGTATGGAAATGCCACGTAACGTATCTCAATTTGATAGTTCCATAATAATAATATAAATACAAACATGTTCAAACAAAAGCAGTTGGCAATTTAAAGCCTCGATGACACAGGGCTAGTTTAGCTAGCTACACGCCAGCGAGTTCACTAGCAGCTTGTAAAATAGCCCTGTGTCATCGAGGCTAAACGATGACATCGAGTTTTTTTTTTATTTCTTACGATTTCACGCACACCACTCTTTAATTAAAACAAGTTTCAACGGTGTTCATTATTCAGACGACGAAAGGATGCGAAACGTCAATAAATAAATAAATCAGTGCATCAATGGTGTCGATTCTGGCACGATTCTCTAAATCTTAACTTAAATTTGACAACAGTGTATCCTTGTCATTCTCTATACAGAATGAAAAGGAGAGACTGATGTTAAATTTAGTTTTAAGTTTAGAGAATCATACCTGAATCGATACCAGTACCGTTGAAACTTGTTTTCTTTGATGACATCGAGGCTAAAAGCTGATGACACGTGGCGAATTTACAAGCTGCTTGCGAACTCGCCGACTTGATAGCTTGTGAACTAGTATATTGATAATGTACTGTGTCAAATAATGACAAAATAATATGATACATTTAGTAAGTGTACGGTGTCCTTTCTGGTATGATTCTCTAAACTTTTATAACATCAACCTTTCCATTTCGTTCTGTATAGAGAATGGCAAGGATACAATGTTGTCAATTCTAAGTTGAGAGTATCATGCCAGAATGGACATCAGTGTAACCTTGTCGTTCTCTATACAGAATGAAAAGGAGAGATTGGTGTCGATTCTGGCATGATTCTCTAAACCTAAACTTAAATTTGACAGCAGTATATCCTTGTCATTCTCCATACAGAATGAAAAGGAGAGACTGATGTTAAATTTAGTTTTAAGTTTAGAGAATGACGCCAGAATTGGCACCACTGATGTTATATTTAGTTTTAAGTTTGGCGAAACATGCCAGAATCGACACTGTTATATTATTTAAAAAAAGAAAAAAGTGATTTGTGTTTCGATGTTTTCTAATGTATTATTTTTGGCATTTTTCTGTTTCCTTCTTTTTTTTAAATAAAAAAAACTGATAGTATCAGGTATTTTACAACAGTTGTTTACAACGCATGTACAATATTGTATGACTAGGTATTTCACACAACCCCATCTTGCATTGAGTATTATGAAATTTTACGCATGTGAAGTAAACTGTTATTTATATAACACATATATAAACAATAACACAATGTAAGTAAAAAAGCATCTGAAACTTTTTAATTTCTTTCCAACTTCCAATCCTGCCCTAGCGATAATTTGTTTTTGCAAAACTATCACCTTCATTATTTTATAAAAGCTGAAAGTTTCTCTGTATATGTCCGCTATACAGGTAATGCGCCCAAATCATAAAACTTACAATAGCTACATGACAGTATTCTTAATTCAGTATGCATATTCTCTTGAAATTAAGCTAAATACGTCAGAATCTCTTGTGATTCGGCTAAATATGCTTGCATAACACACTGACAAGATTCTGAGTTGATAGCGAAAAGTGAAAAAAAATAATTATAGGAAAGCCAAAGGCGAATCTTCTTCCGAGCTGGTAGCTCGGCGGACCAACTGATATTGGTCGGGCATTGTATATATCGAGCGTTAGCCTTCGAATTTCTCTTGCGCGATGTTGGCTTCCATACGTTTAGCGCAGCGCCGGTAGTGCCATCTCTTGAAGAGGCGAGTGACTATTTCGTCTATATTGATTATATGTGGGGCATGTAGATGTCGCCGCTACATTAGACCACTTAAAGTCTTAAATATGCAGTAATAAAAAGCATGAGAAAAGGTACATATCTTAGTCCAGGTATTTCTATGATACTTTGATGATTATACCGTACTCAAAGAAGTCAATTAAATTTAATGTTTGTCAAAGACTAATAATAATATAACACAAAGGATGTGTTATTCTATTGCTATCGAAAAGAAATCAACACAACATCAACTTTGATCAGATTTAAAGTTAATTGACATCTCTGAGTGAAGCCATTAAACATCAAAATATAAGCTAGGTTAAGTTTCAATTATACTTTTAATACTTATTACCTGGAGGAAAAGATTTTTCAATTATTCGATTTTACAAGTTTTTTCAATAACTTTTTCCTGGAGTGTTAGTGCGGACGCGAAGGGTAGGATAGCATGCAATTTTATCGATAAATAGAGCAAGGTTTTGCTTGTAGACACTATTGAATTTTGATATGCGTCGTAATAACATTTAAAATAATGAATTTAAAAATAATAAAGAAATATTTTCAATGGCGGGCCACGCTACGAGAACTAAATAATTAAATGAAACTACACCTACACGCCTAAAAATTCGCGCGGAAATATAAAAGTGACATAAAATATTTGTTAATACATTTTGGTAGGTACACAAACAGCAAGTTGGATTAGGCAAAGTTTACTCAATGGACTTTAAAGTTTTAATTAATAAATAAGAATATAATCAAATGGACGAAAATGTTTCGGTTATAATGGCCCTTTTTTTTTAAACTGAGTTTTGGCTTGCTAAACTTATTGACAAATAAATTAAACTATTACATAGCTTAATTAAAAGTTGTCAAGAAATACTCCATAGCCAATTAAGTTTCATTTTTTTTTGACAAATAGTTCTAATGTGTTTTCTTTTAATAATTCATACCATACTCCTTAATATCCATCATTTTTTTTCACATTAACTCAATCACATCTTCGTTAACTAGAGGAGATCTCAAATTAAAAAAAAAGCGAATACTATACGAATAGTTGTTGATCTTTTTCACTATTCATACCATACTCCGTAATTTCCAATTTTATATTTCACATTAAGTCATCCAAAACCTGAGGAAACCTTCAAGAAAAGTTGAATCACCATGAATGTTTTGAATATGCAGCCTATATTATCAAAGGCGTGTTTCACGCCGAAACATATTCATACATTTTTTATTACATAACTCGGGGAGACCTCAAATATTTAATTATATAAACGTTTTGAGTATTGCGCCTACACATATACTTAAAGGCATATTTCACACCAAAACTTAGTAAGTAGACCTGAAAAACATAGGTACTTATATACGTTCAGTCACTACGCCTTTCCTTGTATGCGTTCAATCGACATTTGATTCAGTGTCGTCGTTCTTGGTTAGAAAGTAGAAGGCGATCACGGGAATAGTACCCAACACCATACAAGACCCCATACCGTAGAAACACCATGAATAGCCGCCGGTTACGTCACGCACGAGACCTGGGAAATAAATACATAAGTAGTCTATAAAACCAGTTTTTTTCCAAAGTCCATAACATGTGTAACAGGGATCCTAATAGCTTAGTTTTTCTTTTTAATTTAACTAGGTAAGTGTAATGAAACCGAGTGTCTAGAATTGCGTCATGAATAATAAACGTCGTTGTAAGAAAATACATTGTCAAACGTTACATGATTCATAATTATTCATAAATATGTTTTATTATCATAGCTATCTTAAAATGACATGTTATTTCATGAAACATCATAGGTACGTAATATGAAATGAAATGTCAAATTTGCCATTTTTTATCAGAATACGTAAAATGACCACTTAGATTATTGTTGTCAATTTATTCTAGGGCAACGTGCGGGTTTGTGGGTGCTAGTGAAGCAAATGTAGCTGGGACGAACGGCTTAATGTCATGGTAACCCATCTTTAACTTACACGATTGTTCGACCGAACGCGCTTACCACTTGCATCATCGAGCGCCTCCGATTTATTGATGCATCAAACTCAATCAAAAGCTATTACAAGTAAATTTCAAGATCGAAGTATCTGTCATAGTATATAGCCTTAATATATGTATAAACAATAGTTTACGACCATACTACTTACAAGACAAGTACAGTATGATCAAGATCTCTTGACGCGTGGCCACAATCGGAACTAATTGTAGGAAGAGAATAATAAACCTTTTATCTATGGAGGATGTAAATAAGCCTTTTAAATTTCCTATTACCTTTTCCGAGATATTGTAATTTATAACGTTCCCTTCAGCGAAAAGATTTTAAAGTACTTTGTAATCCTCATTTCACCACTTAGGGGCCGTTCAAGTATTACGTAAGTACTAAAAGGGGGCAGGGGGGGCTTTGCTATGCTTATTTTTGATGACATTGGGGGGGGGGGGGGGGTCGAGATAGTGATTACGTCATCATCATGGATTCGGGTGTCATGGACTGAAGACAGTTAATTGGTTAATTAATTAAAGTTCTCTATCCTAAGCCTATTTAAGTACTGCTGCTTATGAAGCTCATGAATCAATAAAAAAACAGAATACATTAAAGGAAAAATGCATATAGGTACCAATGTTTACGTAAGCACGGGGGGGGGGGGGGGGGAGAGCGAGGTAAGAGCTTTGCTTACTTTTGCTGACAAGGGGGAGGGGGTAAATAATTGTAATAAATCTGCTTACGTAATACTTCAACGGCCCCTTATTCACACGTAGCGCTCTTCTGTCAATGTCATAAAAGCGCCATAATATCTTGGTCACACTGTTTCTCCCACTCACCAGCGGTAGGCGGCACAGACACTGCGGCGATGCTCTGGAACATGCGCACGAGTCCGTACGAGGACGCGATGCGCGCCGTGCCGAAAGCGTCCGCCAACAATACGGGTACTAGCAGGAACCAGCACCCAAGGCAAAGGCCGTACGCACCTGGCAAATAAATAATAAAGTGATAATGCGAAAGAAAACTGCCAACCAATTTATCCCGCAAGACAACTGTCAAACTCAGAACGAAAACTTCTGGGACCCCAGCGGCGATAATAGGCTACTTTTTAATAGTGAGAATATAATTTTATGGGGATGTTTGTAATGTTTTTAATACAATGGGAAAGAGAACGCAAAGCTCATTTATGGTGCTTTGGCCGTTTGACCCATAACAAGCAACCGGTCACTTCAAAGCTGCGTTTCATTTATCGTACCATCAAACGATACAATGAAGACTCTAGTGTAGATGACAGGTCAAGAAGTGGTCACCCTCGGTCTGTTAGGACTCCAGCAGTGATAAAAGCTGTGAAGGCGCGAATTCAAAGAAATCCCAAACGTAAGCAGAAACCGTTGGCCCTTCTGATGGGGTTAAGCAGAACCACGGTGAAAAGTGTGTTAAATGAAGGCTTCGGGCATATCGAAGAAAAACAGGACATCGCTTGAATGTTCGTCTAATGGACCTGAGACTGAAGAGATGCCGCGCTTTGTTGAAGCGGTACGCGGGAAAAAAATATCGGGAAATTCTTTTTTCGGGTAAAAAAATGTTTACCGTAGAAGAGAGCTACAATAAACAAAATGATAAGGTGTACGCAAACAGTAGTGAAGAAGCGAGCAACCGTATTCCGCGTGTCCAACGAGGTCCTTTTGCCATCCTCGCTCATGGTATGGTTGGGAGTTTCTTATTGGGGCTTAACAGAGGTACATTTTTGTGCGAAAGGTGTAAAAACGAATGCAGTTGTGTATCAAAATACAGTCCTGACGAACCTTGTGGAACTTGTTTCTCATACAATTTTCAATAATAGGCACTGGGTATTCTAACAAGATTCGGCGCCATCTCATAGAGCGAAGAGTACACAAGACTTTCTAGCGGCGCGTAAAATCGACTTCATCCGGCACGAAGACTGGCCCTCCTCCAGTCCAGATTTGAGTCCGTTAGATTTTAAGATATAACAACACTTGGAGGAAAAGACTTGCTCAAAGCCTCATCCCATTTTGGAGTCACTCAAAATATCCTTGATTAAGGCAGCCGCCGATATTGACATACACCTCGTTCGTGCTGCGATAGACGACTGGCCGCGCAGATTGAAGGCTTGTATTCAAAATCACGGAGGTCATTTTGAATAAACTTTATTGTCATAAGAATCTACGTTTTGTTAAGTTCATTTTGGTATATAAATGATTACATAATGAATAAACTTGTTTTAATTATTTTATATTAAACATGTGACAGAATTTATGACCTGACTAGGTAATATAATTTATTTACTAATGATGTTATCGATACTTTAATAATGAGTGGCCCAACCCTAGTAATGTAAAATGTGACTTGTTTACTTCAGGCTCCAGCACTACTTTTTTACTTGAAAGGATTATAGGACAATAAATTATAAAAGGATGTTGTTTGAAATATGTATGTAAGTATTAAATAAAAGTACCTATTTAAATATGTAAACTTTAGTGTTAAGTTCGCCTTAATAGGGCATTTGACAGTATCCAAAATAAAGTACCAATTGTTAGCATCTGTATTTAAAATGAATATTGGCAGGAATTTTTACTATTTTTACAGAAAAAATATTTATAATTTTACTAAAAACCCACGATAAAGATAATAGTTTTCTTGCCTATTGTCACGTGACCCAAAACGCTTGGGATTGGTGGAGCCTAAAATGACATCACACGCAAGTAAATTTCCGGATAAAATGACATTTGATTGTATGGTTTGACGTTTTAATAATAGTCGTGTGACGACACACACCAGTGAGACGCCATATTGTCCAGAGGTACGTTTTTCGCTGCAACTTGAAAATAGAGTTTTTGATTTGGTTTTTTTACCGAAATATACAACATAATAATTAATATCCACTTTTTATGACCTCTATGAACATCAGTAAATAACGTGAGATCGTTTTCTAAAACTTGTCATATAGCCTATCTTCCAAAAGAAATCATTCTAAAGAAAAACAATAAAATGACACATTTATTGAAAGAAATTAAATACTTAAGAACTTGCGCAATAGCATATTGAAATACCAAAAAAAAATATTAAAATATTTTTTTTGTTTTTTTTTTTTTGCTTGTGATTTTTTATTTGTCAGCAAAGACACACTGTTTAAAAGATACGTTCATGATATGTACACGAGTTGGTGCTATTTTTTGTCTACACTAGTGTCGATTCTGGCGTGATTCTCTAAACTCAAAACTAAATTTAACATAAATCTCTCCTTTTCATTCCGTATAGAGAATGACAAAGATACACTGTTGTCAAATTTAAGTTTAGGTTTAGAGAATCGTGTCAGAATTGACACCACTGTTTGATTAATTTAGTAGACTAAATATCAAAACAAACTGAATAGGTATTTATTAGGCGATTAATTATTTTATTAATATATTTCTTCTTACCTGAAGCTACTGCTAATGCCCACCACGAAGTCAAACTAGGCAGAGTCAGTACAGCAATGCCAGCCACCAAAATACTGAAGCAAATACATTACAGTCACACAAAGCAAACAGTATAATTTAAGGGACCCCGAGGCGGTCAAACGATTTGATGAAAACTCACACTAAACACTCGCGACTCAAAAGTGGATTACTTTTGAGTCGCGCTTAAATTGTGGTGCATGACCACAATTCGCTTTAGTCACAATTGGACATTCAAACACGCTGCATGTGCACTGAATATAACAATATTGCATATATTCTGTGTTATAAAGATAAAACAATGCCTTCAATGCTTTTATAAAGTACACAAATAGTTCAAAATCAAATAACAAATGCCTCGGCAACACTTTTCGTTCGTAAACTGTTAAAAAAACGGCAATAGTGCTGGCAGAAGTGAAAACTTGAATATTACCGTTGTGCATTTTTGATATTTTGGAATGGTTAGGGAATAATTTTGCACGAATTGCTTTAATTATCAGTATAAAAGTTCTATCATGTATGTGGTACAATACAAATTTTTATTTATTGCGCTATCGTACACAAACATGACAATTTATATTACATTAAAAAGTTTATCTCTTAGAAAAATCAACTTGCATGAATCACATTTAAGCGCACCTAGCGACATCTATTGTAAAAAATGCATTTTCTTGGCAATAAACCTGCCACCTGGACGTCCTAATTAGAGACTTATTATTATAATACTATAAAATAAAATATTACCATGTTTCGTCCAATATATTGAAAGTCAACAACTATTCCAATTTTATTGTTTTCGTCTTACGAATTTTCGATTAGGCCACGTGTCATGACGCGATCAGGCCACGTGTCCTGAAGCGAGTCTAACAATTTATACCCATTACAAAAAAAGTGTACAACGCCGCTAAAGAAGTTTTCACTTCAAAAATCACGGTTTGTCGTGAATTTTAAAACACCCTGAGGAAATTTGACTTGCATAGTGGTTTCATAAAACCATGTTTTCTATGTATGAGTTGTAGGTACGTACCTGAGTATGTAAGCCTTTTTTCTGCAAAACAAGTGAAGGTCGCACAACCAACCCAGCCCAAGTCGCCCACAGAGATCCAATACCGCGCTGATGGCAACCAAATGACCTATAGGAAATAGTTATTTTTTTTAAACACGTCTGCTCAAAAAATGCATTTACGAAGGTTGTATACATTATTAGAAAATTCAAAATTACGGGCCATACAGCGGAGCGTGCGGTAAACGTTTTACCGCTTCCTTGTGACCAGAAACTTAATATCTCTCCCTCCACCGTGCTTCGGAAGGCACGTCTGCAAAGCAGACGACGGGGCGGGGCGGGCTTTTTGTCCGCGAAGCAATAAAGACCGCGTCTGCCCGTCGATGTCTGCGGCTGCGCGCAGTTTAGGACGTTCGTTCTAGTCAGCGTTGCCAGGTCCGTTTTTAAAAATCGGTTGCCCCCCCAGAATTGGTAAATCAAATCAAGATAAAGACCAGTAACGAATGAGTTTTTGTGGCTTCTACCGCCACGTAAAGCTAGTTTTATTTAGACAAAAACATTTATTTTAAAATTAATAAGTTTACCTACAATCGTATTCTAAGAAAAACAGGAGATTCATGTAGAAAAACAGTAGAACAGGAGAAAATTCAGAAAAACAGGAGATCTCCTGTAAAATCTGGAGACCTGGCAACACTGGTTCTAGTAAATAGTCCATCACTAATAAGCGCGTGGCGCGGAGTGAGCTGACCGCCCCGCGCCGCCAGTGCCCGCCGGGCAGTTGTAGGGATGTGCGATCCGGGTCGTCGATCCGATTTTTCGGATCGTAATGGATCGTAATGCTACGATCTGATCCGCGGATCGGATCGCTTGCCGTCGATCCGATCTTCAAGAAATCGGATCGGATTGGATACAATAAATAAGACAAATTATTTTAGATTTTTATTTGGTAAACCTATCAATAATCGTCACACCTAATCAGGTACAACTTTTGTTAATAATAATAGAATGTATAAGATTAACGGATCCACCTGCAAAGTATGCCGCCAAGTTAAAATGTAAACAAAGATAAAGTTCGTAACAGAAACCTTAGTAAGTACCTACCCAATTTATTGTAAACAAACCGCGTTTTAATTCATACGATCCAAGCGATCCGATCTTTCAAGTTTTGTAACGATCCGGCAAAAAATCGTGTGACGTCGACCCGATCCGAAAATCACCGGATCGTATGCCCGCCCCGCCCCGTCGTCTGCAAAGCGCCTAAGCCGTCGGTCCCGGCTGCATCTGCAGTCGTTAGCAACCACCAACAACAGTACCCACGAACCAGTCTCCCTGTCCCATCCATAGGGAAGGCCTGTGCCCCAGCAGTGGGGACATTAATAAGCTGATGACAATGAGGTAGTTACCGGCGGCTCCCTTGCTGTGTCCCGCCTTCACAGCATGTGCAGGTAAGTAATATAATGCGTACGGTGATCCGCATGACATGAGCGCTACGGAAGCGCACAGCAGACCGAAACGACGCGAGCGTAACAGGGAGACGTCCAAGTATCTAGAAAGAAAGAGTAAAATACTATTATTTACTAGAAAAAATCCACTCAGCCCAGGTTTCAGACAGAATGAGGGCTACCGTTTTCTGCCTCACCAGATGGCGCCACTGTAGAGTGAGGTCCTAAATTGTAACTTTTAAAGTTTATTAATACGCAAATGAAATCAAAGGTTACATTTAGATCGTATTTTAACACAAAAGAACCATATCCTAAACATCACAAACAGTGACGCGTAGTTCCGTTTTATTCGGAAAAAATGGGAACATAATCATTTTTCTAAGCTCAAATTTTTAATAACTGACATTCATTGCCAAATAACTCATATTTGCCATAATTAAGCCGAATTGTTACCAATTATTCACAACATTATTTTAATTAGAAATAAACCCGCGTAGTCAACCAACAAGCAATAACAATTGACATTTCGGAGACCTCACGCTACACTAGCGCCTCTAGCGGCGGATTCATACGCGATAGCCCTCATTGAAAAATTTCGAACCCGCATCGTCCGCTATCCTCTATCCCGGGATTGAACCTAGCACGAACATTATCGAATTCGAATAGTTTGCACACCGAAATGTTCATGTCAAATTTTGTAGCGAAACTTGAACAGCAGCGGCACAAAGTACGTAACGAGAACTAAAAATCAGTACACATTTGACAATGACTTTTCGGACTCGCAAACGATACGAATTCGATATTGGTTCGTGCTAGGGGTACTGGTCATTGAATAATATTCATAGACCAGTTCAAAAACATTATCTTTCGCAGTGAATCTGATTTTACAGTGTAAAATGTTTATGTGTGCATGTGTATGTATATATATATATATGTTATTAAATGTATTTTTCATATTTCATTTCATTCGAATACATAAGTTTGATGTAAGTGGATTGTATGTAAGGATGTGACTATATATTCCAAGCCATATAAGACCCCAACCTACAGTCACTTTAAAACTTTTCATACTCACGGTTGTCTAGAAGAAGGTTGTCTTAGCAATAAGACCGCCAATTATGACGTTTTTGTTAAGTTTATTGTTTGTTAATGTTATGTAATTTGATTTTTTTGAAGTTATACTTCTTTAGCCGCGTTATGAAAAAAATATGAGAGTGAAATTTTAAGATGCGCGCGCATCACTGTAACACAATAGTAACACCATGAAATTGGCCGCGGGCGCGTTATGAATGTTAGTGTCTAATAATGGTGGATTATTAACCACTTAGTGGTTCACTCCAATAATAATATCTAATAGATGTCTAATAATCCACCATTATTAGACATCTGTTTGAAAGGTACTTTGAACGATCCACGGAGCTCCATAAGATGATCGCGTTGTCAAAAACAATGTTGGCACGCTCGTCGGCTCTGATCACTGTTTTCATATTTATAATATTTATCCACATGTTTCTAGTTTCTATATAGACACAACGTGTTTTAGTTACTTACAAGTGCTAATTACATATGGACTAATAACTTAAATTCAGTAGTGATTTAAATTGAATATTTTGATTATTTATTAAATTTTTCAAATTAAAACTGAACTTTATTGACTGCGTTGACTATCCTTTTCCAATCCTTTTATTATCTTATTGTAATTAATTATCTGCATGCAATTAAAAACTATTTTTTAATAATTCCAAAAAGAAGTATAACTTCTCACGCGCGTACTTAAGTACACGCACCCATATTTTTTTTAAACACACCAATTAGCATGGCCCCAAAGTAAGCACTGTAGGCTTGTGTTGTGGGATACTAGGGTAACGGATAGAATGCATATACAGTACACATATAATACATATATTTATATATGTATATATAATACACATACACACACATATATTTATATAGAAATACATATTAAACATCTACGACTGGAGTACAAATGCTCTTATTTAGTGTTAATAAACATGCTGGTAATTATATATTTGGTGTTTTAATAAAATGTTATCTCTGTATCTACTTTTTTTGTCAGGATAGTGTAACAGCTCCAACATTCATGTTATATACCCATGCCAATAATTGATACTATATTTTTCAAATTGTCAAACAAACTTTGAAAATTATTCTACTTAAAATAAAATTACCACTAACTATAAAAAAAGGAGCGAGCCTTACAGTAGTCGCGTATGATGTGTAACATTTGAAACCTCACCTTATATTAGTAAAAAAAGAAATAAAACCTACTACAAAAGGAATAAGCCATTTGAACATTATGCTCTAAAATCAAATCAAATAGCGCGCGCTTTCGCGACTTCCTGTTGCACACTTCCGTTTCATTTCACGAATTCACTTCCACAAATTGCAGAAAAGCGAGAGGAAAGATGTTACACATCAAAAAATTATAACTACAGATATGTCTCCGGCCGGTTAAGGTTAAAGACCTGGAAATCTTCGCGACGCATCCTCTCTTCTCTTCTTTTTCTTCTACTTCTTCTTCCTTCTGAACTTCTTGTTCTTGCTTCACAATCACTGGCTCTGCTAATTTACTCTGAATCAGTCTACTCGGAAGAGGTGGTCGTATGTACAATGATCTGTATACAAAAATAAATTAGAAAATTCACATTTTTATAACACTGTCTATGAAAAGTCTGGCAAAATTCATCATCATCAGCCTATTAGTGTCCCCACTGCTGGGGCACACGCCTTTCCTGATGGCATAGAGAGAATGGGGCATAACCCATCACATGGGCCCTAGAGCGGATTGGTGGGTGATAACTACTGTAGATACAGCCTGGACCAATGACTTAACGTGTCTTCTGAAGCACGATGAATCAATCATACTCGAGTAAATAAATTTATTGAACACTCGTCCTATTTTATAAATTTTGTTAAGAGCCCTTTTACAAAATTACGCCGCTGCCGTACTGATCGCCGCGTAGGTAGATTTGCACTAGTATATATTGCATTTTACGGGAGATGTTTCGAGTCTTATAAAATAATTATTAATTAACTTATTATAAAAATATATAAATATTTTAGTAGTTCAATAATGGTAGATTAGTTTTATGAAAGTTTTTGATAGTAATTCTATTTAATTCAATATCAAAATACGGGTAAACCTGCATTGTTTTTTGGAAAAACTCACGGAGGTTAGATTTTTTTTTTGATAATTAATGAGATGGTAAATCAAAATTCTAATACGTTATGTTACAACAAAAATATATTTCTGATGTCGTAGTAATTAATTTGATCTAATTTATTGAACATTATTGAGAGATTCAGGCGTTTGAAGTTGTGCATATTATCGTTTTTTCCGTAAACTAGCTGCAGTAAAACGATCAGTACAAAAAAAGGAAAATATGATATAAAAATTAATCACCTGCTTATCTTTCTTCTGCTAGCTTTGTACACGCAAGTACTGTCAGTGGAGAGATCTTCCACCGAATGTAAGATGGAAGAAGACCTGGTTGGTCTCAAACGAAGCTTGGCTACTTCCCTTGGCAAACCTGCGGTGAAAACGTATATACTCAAAATTCAAATATTCAGGAAAAAACAATATATCGTTTAATCAATCTAGGCTGTTACAAGCACTTGTGAATGTCGAGAAGCTACGCCATCGGTTCGCAAATCTACGGCGGGAGACCTTGTACTGAGAAGAACCGGCAAGAAACTCAGCAAGGGCTGTTTTATACTCCCTGTATTATATACAGAGTCGTCAAATTGAAATATGAATGAATGAATATTCTTTATTGCACTATTTAACAGAATATATAAAACATAAAACTCAGGACACACAAACACAAAAGGCGACCTTATTGCTAAGGTAGCAATCTCTACCAGGCAACCTTAGCTTATATGACTTCAATTTTAGATAACTCATAAAGTCATTTTCCGTTACAAATGTCAATGATAGAAAAATATGACTAAACATAGGGTTACCTTGAATATGAATAATAAAAGAACATATTCATTTAAATACCATACCATTGTAACTGAGTGAGTAATGATACCATTTTGTGACTGAAAAGATCGGACTTTTTTCGAAATGTCAGGATTTTTGTCATGACTTTTGTAATTCCTAAATGGTAACCCTAACTATATAATAAAAAACGACGGGTTGCACTCCGGGAGTGCCGGCAGAAGTGAAAACTTGAATATTAACGTTGTGCATTTTTGATATTTTGGAATGGTTAGGGAATAATTTTGCACGAATTTCTTTAATTATCAGTATAAAAGTACTATCATGTATGTGGTAGAATACAATATTTATTTATTGCGCTATCGTACACAAACATGACAATTTATATTACATTAAAAAGTTTATCTCTCAAAATTTCTCATTTAAACACACCTAACGACATCTATTTAAAAAAAAATGCATTTTCTTCGCAATAAAGCTGCCACCTGGACGTCCTAGATACAGACTTATTATTATAATACGATAAAATAAAATATTACTATGTTTCGTACAATATATTGAAAGTCAACAACCATTCCAATTTTATTGTGTGTCATGCTGCGATCAGCCCACGTGTTTAACCTGACGCGAGTTTAATATTTTTTACCCATACAAAAAAAAGTGTACAACGCCGCTAAAGAAGTTTTCACTTCAATAAAACTGATTTAACAAAGTTTTGAAATGCCGTGACTGTTTCTTTGAAAATATAGCGACGGAAAGAGGGTAAAATTATGTTTATTTACATAATTGACGTGTAACATCTTTCCTATCGCTTTCCTTTCGTGCAATTTGTGGGAGTGATTACGTGAAATGGGACGCAAGTGTGCAACAGGAAGTCGCGAAGCGCGCGCTACTTGATTTGATTTTAGAACATAATGTTCAAATGGCTTATTCCTTTTGTATTTTTTTTTATTTCTTTTTTTTACTAATATAAGGTGAGGTTTCAAATGTTACACATCATACGCGACTACTGTAATTGTCGCCGCACACGGGCCACACGCCACAGCCACAAACGCCGCCACGAGAAGCTAGAAGCGGCTACTAAAGTGGCTGAAGCGCGCGACAGCGGCCGACTAAGGTAAGGGAGAGAGGGGTGGGGAATCACGCGAGTGACGCGTGGCGGCGTTTTGTATCGGCGCATTAAGTGGCCGGTGCGGGCCACAAGAAGCGAGCAACGACGATTTGTAGCGTGTGGCGGCCACCGGCGTACCGTGTGTGGCGAGTCCATATAAAATGTATGAAAACTACAAGAAATATGCCGGTGACGGCGTTTTGTGGTTGTGGTCGGTGGCCCGTGTGCGGCGACACTAAGGCTCGCTTTCGTCTCGTTTTTAATGATGTAGAACCTTTGCCATGGAAGTCAGAAGCTGTGAAGTAGGCTTGTTGAAAATATATCGATGTATCGATATATCGATATTTTTTGTTCGATATATCGATATTTTTTGCCGATATATATTGATTCGATATATCGATACATTGATACAAAATAACCAATATCAAAATTCGTATAAAAACGATATTTTTTTAATTATTAGCGGCATATCACGATCTAACTAAATTCGTATCTGGAAAATCGTAACTGGATCTTCAACATATCCATGATCTGTGCTGTATTTAGTATTGTCTATGTCATCATTCGATAATAGGGTTTATTTTTAGGGAGATAATTTTCGTTCCATTATTATTCCGCGTGTCATATTTCGTGAGCTACTGTACGATATTTTTGGGAAAATTGGTCCGATATATCGATATATCGATGTTTTTTTCGCGATATATCGAAGCCGATATTGATATTTTTTAAAATATCGACGTATCGATATATCGATATTTTTTTCAACTTTCGACATCCCTACTGTGAAGTTTCATACTAACCCACAACTCCGAGGACGTCCATTACTTCGGAATCTTCCGAGTCTGAATGCTGATTTTGTGACTGACGAGTTACCTGCAATAAGTTAAATTTATTTAAAACAACATTACACACATTGATTGGTCTCAAGTTATATTAAAGACTAGCGGCCACCCGCGACTTCGTACGCGTGGAGTTAGTTAGAAATAAAGGTTCACTGCTCATTCCCCGTAGGTGATAGCGTGATAATATGTAGCCTATATGTTGAACCGACTTCTTAATAATATTCATGCCAAAGGAGATTGCTCAAATTGTCCCAAATGTATAAAAAATATTGACATATACGGTAATTCTTGGCGTAATTTTTACTTTATTTACAGTCATTAGATTTTAACGGACACCTTTGTATAATATATTCATTTTAAAAAGGATTTTTAATTTTACCGGTTTGGAAAACACGAATCAGTTTTAATGGCTATGGGTGTAGTAACATTCAGCCAACGAATGATCGAAGTTATTTATATAACATCAAAACAAATCTATTTTGTAAAGATCGACTTTTTTTTATTATACTGTAGTATCAATATCCACAACTATATTATCAATTTCACTTCATGCAAATGTGCTGAGACAATTATTATAGATGGTAGGCGACATCATAAATTCTATTGCCATACATTTTTCGCCAAACACCTCCATAAACACATTATATGGTGTGATACACTAAAAATCTAAAATGTGGTTATAATATAAACATAATCAATAATAATGAAGCTTCTGAAGTTATGGCTGTAAAACCTAAATCTCTTCGCTTTCTTTGATTAAGGAGACTAAATTATTTTTAATCTGTGGCTCATTCACAATCTTCACACAGTTTCTGCCACAGAGTACATACCTTATTATAACCGGAAATGCATAGATGATACCTGATTTTAAAAGTTACTCTAGTGCATTAACTTTAAAAACAGGCAGGTCAATCTACATACTTTATATACCTAAATCTAATACATAATTTCGGTACTTGGATTGATTTCCCTAGTTTACTATATAACTTATTTATTTTTTATTATTTCAATACCTAAGTACCTATTTGCAAACATAAACTCAAAATCATTCAGTGTATATGATTTATAGAAGTTCTCAGGGGTGTCCGTCAATAATAGCAGCATTTTACCTGAAATAAAATGCATATTAAAATACTTACCTCACTGAAAGCTTTATATTGAGATAGCACTTCCGTTTCCCGTCGAATTACAATCAGTTTCCGTACTTTTATTCACCTTGTATCCGGTCCAGTGGCGACACCTGGCAGAAGCGCGGCCATTTTTGTTTTCCTAAGTTTTGACAGCGCCATATTAACTCATTGGCTCAATTATTTCACCAGGCAGAATTTAAAGTGAAAGCTTTCAGTGAGGTAAGTATTTTAATATGCATTTTATTTCAGGTAAAATGCTGCTATTAAACTACTTGACCGTCACTGAAAGCTTTATATTGAGACCTGTTTGTTATCGCCTGGTGATCGCCACGTACATAGATATATACGCCAATGTGACAATTTATGATAAATTTAAATATTAACATTTATCAGATTATATGAAACTGTATAAAGAAACGAGTAAGCTTAAAAATGAATCAAATAATATTATTTGAATCACGCCTTTAATTTCTTCAAGCTTACGAAGCTGCTTTAACATATGTATTAGCTGATCGCTATATTCCTTTGCTTAAAACTTGCGAAGTATATATATATATATATATATATATATATTTCTACATATATTTGCTTTGTTAATGACCGGAAGCTTCCTTGTGTAGCATTCATTTGTATCTTTGTATATCACAAATAAGGCGTACGAACGCGAGAAAAGGATGTAAAGTTGTTCGATACTGAGTCTTACATTTTACAAGACTGTACTTTTTACTTAAGTACCAAAAATCAGGGTCCCACTTACGATTACCATTATTCGGTACAAGTCACCAATCGGATTGTCTTTAAATACTTTCACCTGTTTTGAACCAAAACAAGGCTAAACTAATCTCCGTCGGTAAAAATACAATGATTCGGGATAATTTGAAGTAGGAACAAGTCATGTGTACCACATGCTGAACCAAATAATACGCAGCATAATTACTGTATGACGTTCAGAACAACATATATGACGAAGTATTTGAAACAGATCATTATGATGTAACGAGTACATTATTGAAGAAAAGGAAATAAGTTAACTTATAGACACAGAATAATAGGTTACGGACTGATTCTTTAAAAATAATCAGACTTCAATATATGTGTTTGCCAAGACAGGTGAGCTTAGGTAATTACACTTATCATCCATTGGTATATCATGTAAAAACTACTGACTTATTTTAAGATAAGTCACGAGTTAAAAATAAGTCTCTCAAAAATCGTGTTAGTTCAGAGTCATTCTTGTTTCTAGACCAATGCAACCACGCAAGCCAGCGTTTCCGAGCCATCTCATAGCTGTTTAAGACAGAGCTGTCGCTCTTTGTAGAATATGTTGAAAAGCGTAGTGCTAGCATATCTATTTGATTGTAGTGAAGATTGAAGTTAAGTGGTAGAGCCGTGTTCTTCAACTATACTTCCCAAGCTTTCATATTAGATTAGCGGGAAGTGATTGCAAGGTCGATTGCAGTGAATTCATAATTATTGTTAGAAGTAGGGAGTGGTTGATACAAACCCACGGAATGACAAAAAATTACGTTTTTACAACGAAATTCTCAGGTATAGTTTTTATATTGTTGCTGGGTTGCCGTGATAAATTATGCTATTACGAAGTTCAGACCAGATTTTATGAAATTCATTTGCCATCCTGGAATCTATAATTGATTGTAATTTTTCCTTTTGTTTTTCAGTTCTTAGATCTGAGTCATTTATATGTATTACTTAATACTAAATAAAGATTTAGTTATTTATAAGATTTACACAGCTTACATGAGGTGTGCATGTACTATGCGTAGGGTTTGAAGTATATTTATTCCAGACAGTCGTGGCAAGGTTAGAAAGCGTAAGTTTAATATTAAGAACAGTTTTCAGTAATTTTTACTAAAATAACATGAAGTGGACAATTGCATACAATGATCTTCAAAACCTTTCAAGAATTTGGTAGATCATGCAATCTTTCTTCAGTACATAGCACCACTTATATATCAAAATGATCATGTTGGCCACCTCAGACACCACATACACGACATTTCTAATATTGCAAGTTTCTCTCATTACGCGATCAAAAGAGTGAGCAACCTTTGGTTTACTTTTGTTATTTTCAAGGGAAAATATGTTATTATCTATTTATCTGGCAGATCCTTAAATTGCAGAAAACTTAGAATTCTTTACATATTTATAGTGTACTGCACTTGAGATTGGAGTTTGATATACATTGGATTTAGATAAACAAACTTTTGAATGGCATGCGATACCATTAAATTTATTTAAGAATTATTTATGGAGCTCCCAATTTATCAACTTACCTGCACTAAATTTTTTCAAACATTAATTGTTTCGATATTCCTTTTTCTTTTGAAATGTATTATATATTACGGTAGAACAACCGTAGTGATCGAGTCAACACTTTACACCAATTAGCCTAGCCTTATAATGGGCATTGAAAGGCTTGTGTTATGGGCTAACGCCTAGAAATGCATAATGATGATGCATAGATTGTATGATTTTGAATTCATATTTGTTAACAACCAAAACTTAGGCACAGATGGTCGTTTTCATCATACAATGATTTGCCCCACCGGGGTGAACCCAAGACCTCGGAGTATGCGACACCTTAAAAACCACGTACACTGCACTTCCCAACGGGGTACGTCAACATTCGATGTTCGATCTTTATAGTCTATTAAGAGGGTAGTTTATAGCCGATAATTATGTGTACGCAAGCCATGAGCGGGTATGTTGCGTTGCGTTGATGTATGGATTTCCACGCGATGGAAGTAATGAATTATGTCAAGCGACATTTATTATATTTTCAATTGACTTATTTTTAATGTTTCGAATCATTTACACTTTTACAGACCCCATGGTCACAAAAATAAATTATGAATCACGAATAGACTACATGTTAAATTTTATTATGCATAATTTGCTCCACTCGAGTGTCGTATGTTAGCGGTGCTTACATAATAGTACGAACTCCATAAGCGAACATGTTCTAAGGAGAACATATATTGATATTCACGTAATGGAAATAATATATTATGTGTGATATGACCCCACAAGGGCGATTATAAGATTGATGAGGATATTTCTCTATCAACGATGTTTTGTTACTGATACTTGTATGTGTAGGCAAGCCATGGAAGGCAAGTCCTTATTCATAATGAGTTCCATACGGAGGAAGCAAATTATACATAATATGCCCCCGCGAGGGGCGGTCATCAGAGTTTTGGTAATATGCACGCCGCGAAGGTGGTTTGCTACCGGTACTCGTATATGTAAGCAAGGCATTAGAGGTATTTCATAAGGTTTCACGTAGTGGAAACAAATTGTATATAATATGCACCCCGCGAGGGTGATTTGCTACCGGTACTCGTATATGTAGGCAAGGCATTAGAGGCATTTCGTAAGGTTCCACGTAGTGGAAACTAATTGTACATAATATTCACCCCGCGAGGGTGATTTGCCACCGGTACTCGTATATGTAGGCAAGGCATTAGAGGCATTTAATAAGATTCCACGTAGTGGAAACAAATTATATACAATATGCACCCCGCGAGGGTGATTTGCCACCGGTACTCATATGTGTAGGTACGCCATGGGAGGGCATGTCCTGACACGCCTTGGGCTTCATGAGATGAAGCTTATGAATATCACTTGCCTCTGCGCGAGTTGCTCAGTAGATTGATGAAATGTCAATCACTTAAATCCATGACAAATACTTACTTAATACGAGAAAAACAACCTCATAGATGGTTTCTTATTAAGTGGTGCTTCATCACAGAGATCACTAACTTCTTAAACAGTGCTTTAGTTTTTACTTTTTAGCTTTGTGCTAGCTGTAAAAGACCTAAGAAACGATTCTGTTATCTTATCACTTTCGTTATTAAAATTAACTGAGCAGGTGCCTTCCCGCAATGATTCATTTTTATTTTAGAAATATGCGATTACTGAAAGAAAATGAATGTCAGGAACGTGATATATCATAAATTATCATCATACTTCTTTACCTCGTTGTTTGTTTCCAGGTTGATAAAGCCTGGACTATGATTATAATTTTAAATTTACATCAGCATATCATTTAAAATAAACGTTGAAAATCTTTCGAACAGAGCGTTCCTTTATCCTAGTTTAGTCACACGACTCATATGAGAATTTTTATTACGTGTATTGGTCAGTAAAAGTGTTAGAACATTTTATTCATAAGCCTTTAGATATTGATAGCTGGCCATGTTCAGAAAACGGCATATCGACATTAGAAATACCTTATTAAGATTGTACATACTTCACTTACCCCTCGAACAATCTTTTAATAAAAGGGCTGGAATATCAAGCTCGCTTATTTTTCTTGAGGCAGCGATGCCGCTTTCGTTATACCAGAAGACGACAAATTCAACCAATTATTACTGCAGCTGTTCGAAGAACAATAATGACTAGATCCACACATCTTGCTGTTTTTGCCAATAATGCCAGTCAGTCGGCGGCTGAAACGTCAATATTGACCGATATTCCTTCACTCTAAACCTTAGCTCTAAACTGTAAAACAATTTAATTAAGTATTTTGTAATACATTTACCAATTTACTTTCACATTTACTTATACGGAAACATTAATTGAGTACCAAGAGAAAACACTCTTAAAATAGTTTTTATGATAAACGACCAAGACAGACGTAAAGTATTGCAAAATTTACTTTAATGTAGGTACTTTATTTTTTTAAACAAAACGCACCTTGAATTGCCGTCAAGTTTTACTCACGGCTTATTATTACTTTTTCAAACAAGCGTATTGCACAATTTAACATAATTGTTTTAAATATCCCTTATCACAAGGGCTGCAAAAACTATCAAAAAGAATAATAGTTTTACTTACGGTTCCTTCACTTTTAACACGTAAAGTACCTATTTGGAATAACACGAACGGCAAAAACCGTTAAAATAAAATAGTTTTACTTACAGTTTTATCACTTAATAATAATAAAACCTTTAAAATCTCACAACGATCGCTCAGATTGAGGACGTGTTGCTTCGACGGGAGTCAGAACGCCAATGAGTTAATATGGCGCTGTCAAAACTTAGGAAAACAAAAATGGCCGCGCTTCTGCCAGGTGTCGCCACTGGACCGGATACAAGGTGAATAAAAGTACGGAAACTGATTGTAATTCGACGGGAAACGGAAGTGCTATCTCAATATAAAGCTTTCAGTGACGGTCAAGTAGTTTAATATACGTTTTTACAGTAATCTCTTATCTATTAGACAAGTCCGTCCGTCCGTCCGCCCGTCCGTGGTGCTGTTGCAGCGGCCAAACCGTAAGAGATAGATATAGAGAATGTTTAAGTTATAAGTTAAGAATAGTCTGATAAGACTACAAACCGGATGTGAGTAACGTAGCACTTCCGGTTTTCGAGAAATCACGTGATTTGTATTTCAAACGAAACCACACAAAATCTCCGAAGTTCTCAATTAATTAAATACTTTTTTTTTTGGTGAACATTTGGTTCACAGGTTTGCTAGTTTTAATATAATTTCGAATCCGGGAAACAATTTTTTTATGATTATAGGTCCTTAGGCCAAGGGCGGATCCAGCTTTTGCGCCAGGGGGGGGGGGGGGGGGGTCATATAGTCGTGGTCAAGTCACAGTGGGTACAGATTGTGAAGTGCACCTACACCTACTTCTCCACCTTATCTAAAACAATGCTTCTCTTTTCGATCATCCTCTTCACAATGCATTCTACGCTCCTCACTCTAGAAATACCTTGCCATTCGACTGATTTCCTTTCTTACTCCTACTCTGTGCATTCTGTTCGCTTGTGGAATTCATTACCGGAATCCATACGAAGGGCTCGCACTCTGGACTCGTTCCGTGAGCAAGTTAAGCGTCATTTCCTATCTTTACTTTGAAAATACCTCTTTCCTTTATTTATTTGTTTATTTTTTATTTTTTTCATATAAATATGCATCTATATTATTATTATTACCGTTTTTATTTTATTTTATAATATTGCTCTTACACCCTTCCCCCTTTTTTTTGTTCTTTATACTTATTTAATTTTCCGTCATGGGTTGCCTGGAAGAGATTGCTATTAAGCAATAAGGCCGCCCATTGTGTAATGTCTCTCTGTCAGTGTAATTTTACTGTTATGTCCTTTGTGGTGTTACACAGTAAAGAATATTATTATTATTATTATTAGCATATGGACCAACCAACAGATGGACCCAGCTCAAGGGGGGGTCGTGACCCGCATGACCCCCCCTCTGGATCCGCCCTTGCGTTAGGCCAAACATTTATGGAAGCTGAGCAATCTCCTTTGAAGTAAATCCATACAGTACTTTTTGAGTTTATCCTAAACATACATACAGACAAACCTAACCCGCACCCTTCGCTATCCGGGCGAATGCACAGACCAATTATGCTACCGCGCCCCAACGGCAGCGTCGAAATTCTTCTAGCTATTCTTAGGCTGCAAGGCAGCGCCATTTCCTCGCATTGTAGGTGACCCACAATGTCAAATGAATACTTTTACAAGTATTACACATTTGAAAGAAGAAATAGCAATATAGTTATATTTAAATCTAAAGAAAATATAACTAGAAAAAAACTCCACGCGGACCAGGCAGCAGACGGGACTCGAACCCACACCCTTCGCTATCCGGGCGAATGCACTGACAAATTATGCTACCGTGGCCCTAAACACCAAGCAGTTACATGTTTAGAAAATAAAAATTATAGATATTGGTGTCGATTCTGGCATGATGCTCTAAAGCTAAACTTAAATTTGACAACAGTGTATCTCTGTCATTCTCTATACAGACTGAAAAGGACAGACTGATGTCAAATTTAGTTTTAAGTTAAAAGAATCCTGCCGGAATCGACACCATTATTTAATTAAAATTAAGTGTGTATATGTGGGTGTGTGTATGTGTATGTGTGGGTGTATGTGTGTATGTGTGGGTGTGTGTGTGTGTGCAATCTGTGTTATATGCCTACCTCTATAAGGCTGGGGTGCATTATCTCCGTGATGAGATTGCTGCGTTTCGCCTCTTCGGTTAGCAGAGCGTTCTTGTGGTTGAGAGCCAGCTCGCTGTCAGGCTGAAACAGACTCTGGAGACGGTTGTCTTTGGTCTCAATTTTGCCTGCAACAATTTTTATACATTTCTATTTTATTTTTATTTGAGAATAAAAACAATGAAATCACACTTATACCTAGATCTAATTAACAAAACATACATCAGTAAAGCTTCCACTATAAAATTATAACAATCAAAGGAGTTCAGTTTGTTAAAATTGAGATAAAAATCTCTTTCATACAACCTTTGCGGTAAAGGATAGCTAAACAAAGAGGAAGTTGCAGTATGCCAGCAAGATAAAACAAAGAAATATACATATTTTCTTAAAAATATAAAGATTATAAACAAATCAATAACATATACCTACACAAATATATACACATACATATTTTGCATCCCTGATCTATTAGACATGTCCGTCTGTCTGTGGTGCTGTTTCAGCGGCCAAACCGTAAGAGATAGATAAAGAGAATATTTAAGTTATAAGTTAAGAATAGTCTGATAAGACTACAAACCGGATTTGAGTAACGTAGCACTTCCGGTTTTCGAGAAATCAGGTTTTGGTGAACATTTGGTTCACTGGTTTGCTTATTATATATTTCCTACAGCAGCCTAGGATCTAAGTAGGAGAAAATCATGGAGAATATTTTAAAAAATGTCAATTGACTTTGCGTGTCGAATCTCAGGCGGATGCTTGTTCCAAAGTTGTGCAGCTTTAATCGTAAATGAGTCCATATACTCAGAGCGGGTGAGAGGTATCTCTAAGAGCTGGTTCCCACTTGTTCGGTGTCGGATCCGTATATTAATCGGAGGTTCCAGTGGCAGAGCATTATATATGAAGCTATTCACACTTATCGGAAACCGATTTTGTGTCGGCTCCGACAAGAAGTGTCGGGTGTTTTGCCAGCCCTCTACGCCCGGAAAAAAATCGTGTCGGATCTCGCTCGTTTATGATTAAAAATGGCGCTGTTCATATTTGTCGGGTGTCGGGGCTAACTATCCTCCCCAAGGGGTAGCGCCCTGTTCCGTCCGTAACACAACCCTTTTTCAGTACAAATGCAGTCTCTAAGTCATCAATCAATCAAAATCATTTATTCAGTTTAGACTGTTACAAGCACTCATGAACGTCTAGAAGCTACGCCATCGGTTCGTAAATCTACGGCGGGAGATCTTGTACTGAGAAGAACCGGCAAGAAACTCAGCAAGGGCTGTTTTTTTCTCCCTGTTTTATTATTTACAGAGTCGTCAAATTGAAAAATGATTTCAGAGATGATTCATGAAGTCATCTTTCATTATATAATTATTACATAAACATTAATTGTTTACCTGCATTTTGATTGATGTGTCATACAGTATAAATACAAATAGTCTTATTTATATTTAAGTGTGACGAAACATTAACTTCAATATTAAGGAAGGTATTGTGATAGATTATGTTCACTAATGTTTGAGTCAGTAGATCGTTGAATGTTGATATTGACATCCTAAAATAATTGAAACACTTAATTTCATCACTTCCCAGTTCTGTTAATAAGTTCTAAAAGGACAATGTTAATGACACCAATTTGGTATTTATGATAATGCTTAGTATATTTTTTGCGATAATTATCAGTATTTAGATTGTGACGGACACTTCCAGTTAAGTAAGCTAAATTAAAAAGTTAAAAAATAATCTGAGACAATAACTACCATTTTATGTGTATAATCTATGACAGCGCTGCAACAAAACACTCTTTCTTCCTAAGGGTGCGGCCAGAGTGCACTCAGATTCAGATTCAGATTCAGATTTCGAAAACAAGCGCGAGAAATAAACAGTGTAGTCGAAGGGTACGGCCAGATTGCACTCCTGATTCAGATTCAGATTCAGACTCAGAAAACAAAGCACGAGAAAAAGCAGGCAACCTGCTTAGACTACACTGTTTATTTCTCGCGCTTGTTTTCAGAATCTGAATCTGACTCTGAATCTGAGTGCACTCTGGCCGCACCCTATTGCCGGTACTTCGCTTGGCTATTCATATTTGCTATTTTAAAACATGACATCAGTCTGTCCTTTTCATTCCTTATTAAGCATGACAAGGACAAACTGTTGTAAAGTGAAGGGCACGCATAAAACTTGTTACTCTGTGGTTGTGGTGCAGGCAGTTTGCATTCGTAGTAATCTGTGGCATTCGTACATTCCAAAGAGTAATATAAACCGGAAAGTGCTATCTAAATAGTCTGTGAGTGCATCCTCGTTTCGGATTACCTGTTGTGTGTGTTTATTTGCGATTGTTTTTCCCATTATTTAACTATTTCGGCTATCTAATATGCCATCGATGTTACCAAAGAGCCTTATTACCAAGTGCTAGTGAACTTGTGCCACAACATCCTGAAAGGATCATACTGCCAAATTATTCAAGAGAACCTGATACACATTCACGCTGCATATTTACACAATATACATGTGATATACAAATAAATGCAATATACTATATGATACAATTATGTGGAAAATAGTCAATAAATAAGAAGCAAAACTAGTTTGTTGTTACAGTTTTTATTTTATTAATGATTCCTACCTAACCAAGTTTTTCCTAATAGTTATTCTTTAAAATCCCACCGAATAAAATGAATTAGTTGTAATATTAATTCACTTCATACTAAGTTCATAGGTTGACCTATGTTTCATTGAATATTAAACATAATCTCAAAAAAAATTAGTTTTCCTAATAATTTAAGTTCTCAGAAGTGTCCGTCAATAATCTTTGTTTTTACGGTCATTTACTTGCGATTTCGAACCTAGAAAATAATATTTCATGATTGTTGGTTCTTAGGCTAACTATGTATGGACGCAGAACAATGTCCTTTACCCAAAATCGAATCTTTCCCTCAGGAATATGTGCACCCAATATTTAATTTCCATGGCTGTCTTTCTTTGTTTTCTTAAACAATAATAGGAACATCACAACAAGAACTTCGCCAACGTCCATCGTGAACAGTCGCCTCGCGTAGAGTGCCTAAAATTGATTAAAGCTTCGTTGTGACCGACAACCGATTTATTAATCGTGTGTGTGAACAAAGGCACCGACATCCGATTAATATACGGAGCCGACCTCCGGCTAGTGGGAACCAGCTCTGACACATTATCGTAAATATTGTTTCGCCGGTTTTTCTCAGAAAGGTCTCCCAATTTTGGAACCGGTGGTAGTTTACGGTAGTTAGGGTCAAATAAATAAACTCAAAATAACAAAAAAGAATTTGAAATAAAATACTTTATTAACTAAATTAAGTAATAAATTCATACATAGACAATAAAACTTCAAAAATCGAACAATGAAATAACCGAACGCTCAATAAAAGTCTTTCGAAGGTAGCTCGACAAAATTAAATAAAAAATCATTCCGACGAAGCAGCCTGTAAAGGCTACGAAACGTCAATAAATAAATAAAGTTTCGTGCATTAACCCGTGAAAACTAGTTTTATTAAATAAAAATTATTTATTAATAATTAAAAATCAGATATTTTTGCTCACTTAATCATGTTAAATATGTTTTATTAAAGAAAAACTTTTTTGCTCACTCTACCTAACCGGGTTGAATTGACAGCTATGACGTCACAATATGGCGCCCAGTCGGTCCTATTCTTAGTTGAATCGCACTGTACACGTAATAGGTCTGCCGTAAATACATCATCATCAGCCTATTAATGTCCCCACTGCTAGGGCACAGGCCTTCTAGAATAGGGAGATTGGCCCATGACCCACCACGCAGGCCCAGTGCGGATTGGTGGGTGCTAACGACTGCAGATGCAGCCGGGACCGACGGCTTAACGTGCCTTCCGAAGCACGGAGGAGCTCGAGATAGTAAATTTTTGGTCACCCATCCAACGACCGACCACTGCGAAAGTTGCTTAACTTCAACGATCGCAGACGAACGCGCTAACCACTTGCGCCATCGAGCTCCTCGTATATACATACATGTATTGAAATAAGAAAAAAAATTGTGTGTGTCAGCTCCGACGCACGACTGGAGTTTACTCCTTAAATTCGATAGTCTAACCAGACGCAAAAAGAGTTTATTTAACTTAAAAAAGATTGATACTGTAAATGCCATATCCACGTTTACTTCTAAAACTCAATGGTTTTGTGTTCAACGAATGGCGCGGTGGTACACCGATGCGGTTTCTTTGTCGTCGTAGGCAATAAAGATACGCTACGATACTGTGCTACGGTGCAGCACTACGGCTGCTACAGCGTAGACAGTAAAAACGTAACGAGCTCATTCATCGATAGATTTCACTCCTCACATTTTTCTCATACCGGGCTTAGATTAAATCAAAAAGGGTAGATACGGTACGCTCATACTAGCATAAAATAAAATATGATCCGACTCAACTCCATAAGCAACTCTCGCCACGCACACGTCTGTATATATAAATATCAATCGAGCGAGCGAGGCAGAACTATACGCTTCAACGCTGCGTATTGTTGTCCTTTTCTTGCTTACAAAATGGCGATTACGTAAACAATATTCACGACAAACCGTGATTTTTGAGAAAAAATGTTTTCACAGTTTTACGAATGAAAAGTGTTGCCGGGGCATTTGATTTTGAACTATTTGTGTTCTTTATAAAAGCATCGAAAGCATTGTTGTATCTCCATAACACAGAATATACGCAATATTGTTATATTGGGATCTGACAAAATTCGTGAGACACCTGGTGTTCAATTTTGGAACTAATACCGGGGTGCATCGCTCATCAAAACACATAAGTTATCATTAGTGTCATTAGTACTTTTGAGAAATTAAACAAAAAATGACGGAAGAATTAGGAATATTTAACCCTCGCAAGATTTCTAGAAAAAGAATAAAGTGTTGTGTGTATGGATGTGGAAGCAGTTTTCAAAAAAACCGTGAATTAACGTTTCATAAGTTTCCTAAAAAAAATGCGCGTTGTGTTTACATCAAAAATTATTTTGGTCAAATGGAAAAAGTGGACCAATTCACAGCATGGAAGAACGCTTTGAAGATTGACTGTAAAATAAATCCTCACATGAAAGTGTGTTCATTGCATTTTCTGAAAGACGACTATATATTACCAGGTGAGTCAAATTCGTTTTTTGAGGTTAAGCATGTGTGAAGTAGCATTTTACAAGATCTCATTATTATTCCACTAAGAAAAGAATGGGACGGCAACAACATTAAAATGAAAGAGTTTCCTTGGTTTAGTTACCACAATTCAATAAATGTTTGTGTATACCACAATTCAATAAATGTTTCGCAGCTACCAGTCGTTCACGCTCTCGAAAATTGCGATTACTGGGCGTTGAACCGGACCATTCACAAATATCATTAATTGTTAAGACTATCATTATCTACCACTAATATTGATATTTAACTATTTTACGGTAATTCATCACGGTTTGACTAGGCAAATGCACCCCCGTCGGCGCCATATTGAATAGGCCACGCCTCCATGTCAGATCCCAATTGAGTGTACATGCAGCGTGTTTGAATGCCAAATTGTGACTAAAGCGAATTATGGTCGTGGACCACAATTTAAGCGGATCACTTGTGAGCCGCGAATGCCGTAACTTCCCTTTTTGTTTTAATCTAAGATACCGGGCCCCTTAAATATGCAAATCGATTCTTAAGGAGTAAACTCCAAAAATCTTACCTTCCTGTATATCCTGCAGCAGGGTATGCTCAGTGGTGGTAGTTGTTGGGGGTGACCTTTCGCGGGGCGCGGGAGGCGCGCGGTATAAAGTAGCCGATACACACACGTGAAGCATTCCACCACCTGTGAGAATCATCATCATCAGAAATCAATAAATCAGAAATCAATATATCTTAAATAAAACTAGTTTTTACGGGTTAATGCACGAAAACTTTATTTATTTATTGACGTTTCGCAGCCTTTTCAGGTCTGCATCGTCAGAATAATGATTTTATTTAAAATTGTCGAGCTACCTTCGAAAGAATTATATTGAGCGTTCGGTTATTTCATTGGAAGATTTTTAAAATTTTATTGTCTATGTATGAATTTATTATTTAATTTACTTAATAAAGTATTTTATTTAAAATTCTTGTTTGTAATTTTGAGTTTATTTATTTGACCCTAACTACCGTAAACTACCACCGGTTCCAAAATTGGGAGACCTTCCTGAGAAGAACCGGCGAAACAAACTCAAGAGAGGCTTTCTATCTCCTTCTTATGTTAAATTATGCAAACAAAAAGAACTAATAGTATCTGATGGTCTTAATAATCATTATTCTGACGATGCAGACCTGAAAAGGCTGCGAAACGTCAATAAATAAATAAAGTTCTCGTGCATTAACCCGTAAAAACTAGTTTTATTTAATGAGTGATGTGCGTGAAAACCTAAGAAACAAATATATCAATATATCTTTATTCAAATTGGATGTATAGTACAACTCTTTTGAATCGTCCAAAAATTTTTTTTTCCCTACCACTCGTTATGGACATATTTTTTAGCTGCGGAGAAAAACGAGCGAAAAAAACTCCACAACATTAAAAGTCTAATGTAACAACATTTACAAATCATTATGTTGTTACAACGTCAATACAACTATGATTTATTTAATATAGAAAACCTGTTGGAATGATTGGAACAGTTCAAACCCAAGCATTTTTGTCTGTAATATAATCAGACACTTTGTAATAAGCTTTTTTAATAAGTGTTTTTTTTTATAATATCTTTAAATTTATTTATGGCTAACTCTTGGATATTGCTTGGGACTTTATTGTATAAGCGAACACAAAGACCTTTAAATGAATTATTAATTTTGTGAAGCCTAGTAGCAGGTAAAGTTAGTTTATCAGTCTATTAATGTCCCCACTGCTGGGGCATATGCCTTCCCTATGGATGGAATAGGGAGATTGGGCCATGACCCACCCCTCGGGCCCAGTGCGGATTGGCGGGTGCTAACCACTGCAGTTAAATATAAATATTTCCAACACTTACACCAATTAGCCTAGCCCCAAAGTAAGCACTGTAAGGTTAGTGTTATGGGATACTAGGGTAACGGATAGAATACATATACAGTACATATATAAGTATATTTTTATAGAAATACATATTATACATCCATGACTGGAGTACAGATGCTCGTATTCATCACACAAATATCTGACCCTACCGGGATTCGAACCCGGGACCTCTCGAGTCGGCGACACCATGAAACCCGGTTTACAAACCACTCGACCACGGAAGTCGTCAAATGAGGAGGAGGAGGAGGGGAATCATCATCATCAGCCTATTAATGTCCCCACTGCTGGGGCACAGGCCTTCACTATAGATGGAATAGGGAGATGGGGCCATAACCAACCACGCGGGCCCAGTGCGGATTGGCCGGTGCTTACCACTGCATATGAAGCTAGGACCAACGGCTTCACGTGCCTTCTGAAACACGGAAGAACTCGAGATAGAAGATTTTTGGTCACCCATCCAATGACCGACCACTGCGAAAGTTGCTTAACTTCAACGATCGCAGCCGGACGCGCTGACCACATGCGCCATCGACCTCCTCAATCTATAGGAATGGGAAGAAGAAGGAGCTCTATGGGAATATATGGGCTTATACTTATATTGTTTTAAACTTTCATGGGCACTAACTTTTTTATAAAAGTGTAATAAATTTCAATTGCTATTTTTTTCTTTCAAATGTTTAATACTTGTAAAGGTATTTCGTTATTGTGGGTTACCTAAACTACGATCAGATGGCGCTGTCTTGCAACTTAGAAATACTAGAAGTATCCCATAACACAAGCCTTGCTGGCTATTCTCTAATGTTGTTCAACGTTGAGCTCGTCGACGACGTTGCTTAAAATCAAATATTCTAATTAGAAGATTCCACTAGATTGTAAGGGTTATTTTGCATGCAGTTTCCTGTGAGTTGCAGTTTGCTTCCTTCACCTTTCAAATTCAAATTCAAATAATTCAAATTTTTATTGCGAATACAGGTTATTGTTGTGTACAAACATGCAAATTATATTTAGCTCAGCCATATTCTTTCTTGTTGGCATGCAATGTTATTTTATCTAGTTAACTATTAATTATATTATTCTGACAATGTCAATTAAGTACTTATATTAATCTAAATTGAAATTATAATTCGACAAATGAGATGTCCGTCACATTTTGAAAAAAAAATGGATACCGTAAGTGAGGGTTACTTTAGCTCGGGCGGGTAACTTTGTCCCAAATCAGAAAAAATATTAAACTTGTCGCCCCATCAGTATCTCTTGGGTGACCGTAATAGTTCCAGTTGAAAATCACAGATAGCCATATAGGCGCGTAGTGTGGTGTTGTTTTACCGACATCGTTCCTGTGTCAAGTTTTCATTGTAACGCGGGATTTTTTGTAACTGAAATAGTTCGCATGTTCATGCGCAAACTTTCTCAAAACTGTGGTTTTCGGTAAGTTTACAATTTTTTCTTTAACTTAATTATTTTTGGGTAAAAACATCCATTTGTGTATTCAGTATGCTAATGGTGATCTGTTATAAGGGTTACTTAACCCCAACATGGCTTAAAATGATTTTTTTTCACAGAGAAAACTTAACGAGCTAAAGTAACCCTCTTTAAGGCCAACTTTGGCCCAAAATTAAAACAGTATATAATATGAACCCTTAAATATTATTTTTTACTATTTTCGTATGATAACTTTGTAACTTATACTTTAAAGTTCACAGTGGAAAGATATAAACGTGACATATTCATCACAAAGAGAAGCTACAATTTTATTTAAAAAAAAAAGTGCACATTTTAGGTCAAAGTAACCCGCAGTCACTCGGTATATACAAAAACATTACCATAATGTCAAATTACAATTTATGTCAAATTAAATTATAGTTCAAATTGCAAGACAGATCATTTAAATAAAATAACAAAATAGGAATGCAAACGTACTACAATATTAATTTAAAATTTATCCGTCATATATTTGTCAACTGTATAGTAAGCTTTTCCCACAAGTAATTTCTTAACTCTCAATTTAAATGTTTGGATATTTCTTTTAAGCATTCTGCATAAATCTGCTCTTCCCTATATCACACAATGAACTTATTCGGTTGTACGTTCCTGATCGCTATACGCGACACCGACCTAACCATCCTCATCTTCGCACCACCGTTTGCTGACACTGTGTTCCACGCTCAATCTCCTCTTTGTCGCATTTTGACTCAACTTAATGCACTCCTGGCTGATAAGCCTGAGTGTGATGTATATGCAGATGGATGAAATAAAATAATGTATGACTGTCTATTGCTTTGCGAGAAAAATGAGTGTGAATCCTCATGTTTGTAATTCTTTGTTTTTTTTTTACTAATTGTGGTTTAAGAATTTATAAACCTCACAAGAATTTACATAAAATTCACTTACGTGAGACTATCACAATAGTTTTCCAGCGAACAATTTACAGAGAACAAATCATACATAATAACACTAGAAACACCACAGTTTCCCAAAAAAAAAATTACATACAACATTGCTGTATTTTTTCCTAATTGCTGTAAATGGTATTATACCGTGGTAATTAGGAATAAATAAATCACTTATGAAATTTTAATATTTTAGACAGTTCACTTACCTAATAACAGGACCGTCCCATGCAGACCATACATGTCGACCAATTTCTCGATGAGCATGGGGAACACGAAACTGCCTGCAGCTGTCCCGCTCACACATATACCGTTCGCTAGGGCTCTGAAAAGGAAACACATATGTCCCATACAGTAAGAGAAGTCAACTGAATTGTGAATGCTGTCTTATTCTCATTTCATTGAAGAGAAAGAGGCAGCATTTATTTCATTATAACAGAGGAGGAGCTCGAAGGCGCGGGTGGTTAGCGCGTTCGGCTGCGATCGTTGAAGTTAAGCAACTTTCACAGTGGTCGGTCATTGGATGGGTGACCAAAAATCTTCTATCTCGAGTTTTTCCGTGCTTCCGAAAGCACGTCAAGCCGTTGATCCCAGCTGCATCTGCATTCGCTAGCACTTTCCCATGCAAAAAGGAAGATTTATCTAAAGAAAATTTTACAAGAAATTAGTCCAGCGGACCAGGCAGCAGACGGGGCTCGAACCCGCACCCTCCGCTATCCGGGTGGATGCACTGACCATTATGCTACCGCGGCCCTAATTGTCCGTGTCGAATTGTCTCTAGCATTTCTTAAGCTGCAAGGCAGGTAGGTAACCCATAATGTCAAATGAGAATACCCTTATTTACAAGTATTAAACATAATCAGCTTTGCAGGCCCTGGTCCGCGTGGAGATTTTTCTAGTAAAATTTTATTTAGATTTAAACATCTAGCAGTTAAATACTTAAAAAATATATAACTACAATTTTAACTCTAAAACAGTTTAACCTTAATGTGTGTTTCGTGTTTGTTTGTTAGTTATTTACCTGTGTTTATCGAAATACTGGGACACGATCACTATACCGGGAGTAGTGGATAGACCACCGCCAATGCCTGAAACAAAATATAATTTTTCATTTATCTATATGTAAGCAATTAATTTCAGCAACAGCTGAAAACAACACCTTCCCACACTACTCTGGTTATTAAATAAAATGAAACTTTTATTACAGCGCCACATTTTTTTTCCGTTCATCTTTAGCATGTAGCATTACATTTTAAATTGTTAATCAATAAAAAAAATATGTGTGCACGGAGCAAACATCTGAAGTGAAACTTCTTTTCATAAATAACCTTACATTAGGCGCTGCATCAGGCATAGGGAAGGATGGAGCAGCGCACGCATCACTCATATATATATATATATAGTCGCGTGTGACGCTCGTAGCGTTTCAGCTTTCGCCGAGTTACCCTCTGTGCCCTCCAAGTTTCATGCTCGTCAGGAAGAGTTGCGCACGCATCGCAAGCGTCTTTTCTATAGTCTTTGCTGACCGCTTACCATCAGGCGGGCCATAAGCTTGTTTGACATCCACTAACATAAAAAAAAAATATGGGTGCGTGTACTTAAGTACGCGCGTGAGAAGTTATACTTCTTTTTGGAATTATTAAAAAATAGTTTTTAATTGCATGCAGATAATTAATTACAATAAGATAGTAAAAGGATTGGAAAAGGATAGTCAACGCAGTCAATAAAGTTCAGTTTTAATTTGAAAAATTTAATAAATAATCAAAATATTCAATTTAAATCACTACTGAATAAAATTTATTAGCACATATAAATTTCGCATTTGTATAACATTATAACACGTGTTAAGAATATAGAAACTAGAAACATGTGGATAAATATTATAAATATGAAAACAGTGATCAGAGGCGACGAGCGTCCCAACATGTGCGACTAAGAGATCCTATTACTATTTTGTTGGAAGCTTTTTTTCGAGACTTACGAGTAATGTGCGGTTTAGCGGCCGACTTCATGGTGTTACTTTTCTGTTACAGTGTTGCGCGCGCATCTTAAAATTTCACTCTCATCATTTTTTCATAACGCGCCCGCGGCTAACTTCATTATGTTATTTTTGTGTTACAGTGATGCGCGCGCATCTTAAAATTTCACTCTCATAATTTTTTCATAACGCGGCTAAAGAAGTATAACTTCAAAAACGAGCGAGCCATACATTAGTCGCGTATGATGTGTAACATTTGAAACCTCACCTTATATTAGTAAAAAAAGAAATAAAACCTACTACAAAAGGATTAAGCCATTTGAACATTATGTTCTAAAATCAAATCAAATAGCGCGCGCTTTCGCGACCTCCCTTTACACACATCCGTTCCATTTCACGAAATCACTCCCACAGATTGAAGGAAAGCTAGAAGAAAGATGTTACATATTAAAAAACTGTATTAAACAACTCACCAGTCATTACCCCGAAGCTGAGCAGCAGATGTAACAACCCAGTGCTGAAGTATGACAGAGCGAGGCCGGTAGCACAGAATAGCCCCCCGATGAACACCACCAGACGGCAAGAGTACTTCTCGCAGAGAGCGGATGAAAGTGGAGCTGTGGAAAACAAGACGAAAATATATAATAATAATAATAATAATAATAATAATAATAATAATTTTTTATTGGCTTGAACAAAAATGTGATCTTAAACTAATGACCTGCATCTCCTTTTAAGCTTAAATAGCCTGTGTCAGGAGATACAGCTCTTCCTTAAAATAGATAATTATAACAATCCAATAAAATCTAAACAAACCATGACCAAGATCTATTAGTTTAGACGTTTGGTGTTTATGCCTACATAACTGTAAATGTGGGAGTGAGTGTTTGTATTTTGTATGCATGTGTGTGTGTGTATGTTGGTGTAGTGTGTGTGCGTATATATGTGTCTTAGTGTGTGCAAGAATACTAGGTTCTGCTTAATAGTATCTCTATTTCATCATATGTTTTAGCTGTTAACCATTTTATCAGTAGCTCTTTGCATTGATAATAAATTTTATCATATACATAAATATATTTATTAATGGTGTTGTATATGTGTATAGATCGACTATTGAACAATATAAATTAAAGGAAATCCTATATTCAATATTCAACTATCAATAGGGGTGATGACGGGGTACAGTAAACGAAATTCTATTTAGTCCGTCAGTTAGATGATCAAAAAATAATGGACACGTATTTTTTCTTTGGGCAATCAACCAAAAAATGACAAAGTTATAGCGCGTCAAAGTTCGTGACGTCACTTTTGAGTGAATTGTCACTTATAAGTGTACTCAAACGTGACGTCATGCGACTTTTCAAATCAATTAATCTCTGCAATGTTTATATTATGTGAAAAAAGAAAAAACACGTGTCCAATACTTTTTGATAATCTACCTGATAAACGAAGAAAATAAAATTAGTCATTATCCCTTTTAGAACTACGAGTACCTATATGTGCCGTTTGGTGTTGAGACATGGGCCCATGGAGTCCAAACGCTGATTCCTTCTTTAAGGAATTGTCCAAGAGACTCACTGAGGTGACTGGTTACCATAAGACTGGCGGCTACCTAGGTCAAGAGATCAGCCTTGCTATCCAGCCTATTGGACACCAATCCTGACGGCGGCGCTCAATTATTTATTATCAACGATTGTATCGTTTTTTTTTTAAATATTCAATGTACAGTTTTGACTTTCCTACTATTTTATTACATGTATAGATGCTGTTTCATCATCATCATCAGCCTATTAATGTCCCCACTGCTGGAACACAGGCCTTCCCTATGGATGGAATAGAGATTGGGCCATGACCCACCACGCGGGCCCAGTGCGGATTGGTGGGTGTTAACGACTGCAGATGCAGCCGGCACCAAATGATGATTTAAGATGCTGTTTAATTTTAGCCAATACATTTAAATGAGTATATTTTTATCTCTGTCAGCCTATATTTTGTCCATTGTTTTCTTTTTTTTACCAAATGGCTAAGATAATAGCCACTAAAGCATTCTCTGTATCCATTTCACGTCTGAACTGCTCCGAAACAAGATAATATTGAACGTCTAGCATTGTCAAAAAATTTCGTCGACGGTATGTGGATCATCAGTATTTATCATACTGTTGCCACGGTAATATTATCTATACAGTATTGTGACTCCGCCCTGTCCTTGAAAATAAATGCCTACACCGAGCGCTGCGTTGGCACGCGGTAGGGCCGCCCGCCTACAGTATTTTATGTAGTTTTGTTTTTAACGCGAGTGTAGGTAGATTACTCGTTTGTCTCTTTTTTCATCCTAACCACTTACATATTTATATATTATTCCAGATATTTTGCCCAATGGAAAAACCGAAATACCTAAATATTAGAAACAAATAACGTACTAGTAGATAGGTATATAAAAAATATTCTATAAAGCTAAGACATCTTTCCAATATTTCAGGTAATTTAAAAAATGATATCTCTGGGTGTGTTATTGAAGAGTTCAAGCAACCAAAAACAGCAATTGTGCTGTTGTACGATATTGAGCGTCGTTTGTTCTTTTCCATACTAAATTATGTAGGTATCTACTTAATTAAATCAAATATTTACAATACAAAACGCACGTTTAAGCACGGCTTACTGCATAAAAAACAATTCAGACCGTTCGGTCGTCGTTGCGGCGCGGCGCGGCGGCGCATTCGCGACTGGGTGCACGCCGAGAGCACATCGAACTCGAGTGGCGTAGGTATGACTCTCTTTCCGACCGTTTGTATGAAGATAGAATACTGTATGATATTATTACCGTGCTGTTGCTGCCTAACGTTTACGTGTCTAAATTACATCTCCTGGAATGTTCGATATCAAGGTCCTCATATTCAAATTTTTAAAATAATGACATTTACTTTTTAATATAACTGCCAGCCGTAGGCATTACATGAGCAAAGAGTTAACACTCATCAAGGAGGCCTTAACGCCGTACTTAGTTATTTTTGTTTTAAACTTTCATGGCTATTCAATGACGCGACGAGCAGACACTTCCATATAGACTATTATCCAACTAAAATCCATGATTAGTGACTAGTAGTTTTAAGTTTTTATACATTAAGTAGTTTTAAGCTTTTGTCATTTAAATCTTAATATATATAAATCTCGTGTCACAATGTTTGTCCTCAATGGACTCCTAAACCACTGAACCGATTATAATAAAATTCGCACACCATGTGCAGTTCGATCCAACTTGAGAGATAGGATAGTTTAAATCTCAAATTATAGTCGCAATTTTAATTTATTGCAAATTATTACTTTTGGGGGGTACGAAGTTCGCCGAGTCAGCTAGTATTTCTATATATATAAAAATACAAATAAACAGTGACCCTTAAAAAAAGGAAATCTCAATCCCGCAATAACTGAAGAACGGATTTGAATAAAATTTGGACACGCATATAGTTCATGATCCGGATCCGGAGACCTAAGATCGTTTTTATCCCGAAAAGTGTAAGGTTTCTGTGATATTCTCAAAAAAACTACAGTTTTTGCGCGGGCCAAGTCGCAAAGAAAAATAGTGAGATTGGGCAACGACCCACCGCGCACGATGCGGGCCTAGTGAGGACAAGGTCCTTACAACTGTAGAGAGAGAAAGAGAAAATTACATATCGCACGTCACAAACAAAAGGGTATTATCTTCAAAAACAGTGTTTTGAGATATCGCGTTTTTAAGTTTTATAAAATCATAGAAGCGGAACTACTTTTTCAAATGTTTAAAATGATACCTTAATTAAAACGTACATTATCCTTCTTTGTGTTGAGTAAGTTTAGTTAGTGTATCAATAATAGTTTTTATTTTAAAAGCACTTTTATGTGACTGGGTAAAGAGAATGTATAAGCAGTTCAAATGGCTCATGTTAAAATTAAAACTAGTATCATTTTAAAATAACTTCGCTGAAAATAACATATTAAATAAAATTGAACTGACCAGAGGGTATTATTTTAAATAAAACTTCAAACTTGTATTAATCCGAACGGGCAATAGGGTATTAACTTAACTTAATACTGTTTAGAACAGTCACAATCATAAATTTTGCTTAGAAATTGACGACATGTTGTGTTGCTATAATTCAAAAACTATTTCGAATTAAAATAAAATTATCTTACCAGTTTATAGAGAAAAAAAACGTAGTTTTCGAAACGCAAATAAAAAAATAAATGGTTTTGCCGACTTAATACCCTATTGTTTGTGACGTGCGATATCCATCGATGTGTTTCAGAACAAGTGTCATTGTGGCCGTTATATGAAAGCAGTACGGGATCACTAAATAGCTCGGTGTTGATCACTTCCATCTGTCAAAAGCTGTTAGCGAATAGAGGTCTGCTGGAGTTGACACTTCACGCTATGTTAGGTTAAGAAAGTCTTGTGTGCATAACGTGCGAGCAGAGCGAGCAAAGCGAGCCTGCCACGGCAACGGCCAGAAAAATACTTCGTTAATAGAGACCTTTTCCACGAAAAATTGTGAAGTGTCAACTCCTGGGCCCAGAAAGTATAGTTTCACCAGAAAAGGTATTCATAATTACCTAAAGCCAAGCATAGTGTGGACAAAGCAGCAGGAATCCAAGAAGCCACAGACTCCGACGAATCAGGGAACGTTTCCATGATCTCTACGTACAGCACTCCGTACGACTTGAAGAGTCCCGCAACCCAGAACTGTACCAAGAAAGCACCGAACACCACCACCCATCCGTAGCCACCGTCAGGAGGACTCGTGCTGGGAAAAAAAAATACATTACTGTACATTCATATTGTCAACCGAGTTTTTAGAATTAGATATATAGATTCAGGTTCGATATTTGAACTATGTTCTTACAGAATCGCACTGCCGTTTTCTCTAATCTGCTTTCGTATGGGAGGACTAGAGGACTGTCTTTAATCCTTACCAAAGTGAGTGTCTCAGCATTGAGCAACATTAATTATGATGATGATGACACTCACTCAGCAGACAACCGGTGTCTCAGTCTCATCAAAGCTATACAGCTATACTGCTACGACTTATTGCACTGCTACGATTTATAACAGTGCTACGACTCATTCCACCGTTACCGCATACCTACTCATTGATTAACTATCAACTGTTTTCTCTATTCTGTTGTAGTATGGGAGGACTAGAAGACTGTCGTTAAGAGTCACCAAAGCGAGTGCCTCAGCATTGAGTAGTATTAATTATGATGATGATGACACTCACTCAGTGGACAGTCGAATCTCCCCGAATCCAAACAGCTGAACTGCTACGGCTTATTCTACTGCTACGACTTATTACACTGCTACGAATCATTCTACCATTACCGCATATTAACTTACTCATTGAACAACTCTCAACTCTTTTCTCTTATCTGCTTTCGTATGGGAGGACTAAAAGAATGTCGTTAATCCTTATCAAAGCGAGTGACTCAGCATTGAGCAGCATTAATTATGATGATGATGACATTCACTCTGTGGACGTGATCGCAGTCTCCACGAGGCTAAACAGCTAAACTGCTACGACTTATTGTACTGCTACGAATTATTACAGTGCTACGACTCATTCCAGTATTACCGCATACTTCTCATTGGTCAACTATCAACTGTTTTCTCTACGCTACTTTCATTTGGGAGGAGTAGAATACTATCATTATAGCTATTAACGGGATTGTTACCATGTACCTTATTTTTATCAGTCTCCAATTGTCAATTGTCGTGTCTGGAATCCACGATCTATACTGTGAGTATTGTGTGTCGGGAACAAGTGCGAGTGAATGTGAGAATGTGACCAGTGGAAGGGGTATCGAACGCAATAAAAGATGACGTCAGAGAGTAGACCGATAAGTCTGCCAATAACATCGACCCGCAATTACTTCAGTTACTCCGTGATCATGGCGCTTGCAGCAGTGCCGAAATATCGGAGACTCATAAAAAACAAGGTACATGGTAACAATCCCGTTAATAACTATGATGTTACTGGCCATGAAAGTTTAAAACAATATATAGAATACTATCGTTAATTATAGAACATTCAAAAGAGTCGTTTTGCTTCTTTTTCTTAATTGGTAAGTACCAAAGCGAGTGCCTCAGCATTAATTATGATGATGATGACAACAATACGACCCAAGAACCTTCAAAAAAAGAGCGTACTCCTTCCTTAAAGGCCGGCATCGCATTTGTGATACTCCTGGTGTTGCAAGTGTCCATGGGCGACGGTGATCACTTACCATCAGGTGAGCCGTCTGCTCGTATGCCCCCTATAACATAAAAAATAACTCACTCAGTGGACAGCCGGTGTCGCAGTCTCCTCGAGGCGGCCAGCAGAGGGCGCGCCGTCACAGAGGAGAGGGTCAGCAATGAGTCCTCCTCCTGCTCCGTGGGCGACATCGCTGATAGGTACGCTCCGACTTGCTGTTAAATTAATAAATACTAGCAAACCAGTGAACCAAATGTTCACCAAAAAAAAATAAAAAAATGTATTTAATTAATTGAGAACTTCGGAGATTTTGTGTGGTTTCGTTTGAAATAGAAATCACGTGATTTCTCGAAAACCGGAAGTGCTACGTTACTCAAATCCGGTTTGTAGTCTTATCAGACTATTCTTAACTTATAACTTAAACATTCTCTTTATCTATCTCTTACGGTTTGGCCGCTGAAACAGCACCACGGACGGACGGACGGACTTGTCTATTAGATAAGAGATAATAAGATATTCATATTCATTTATTGCATTCTTGAGGAGCTCGATGGCGCGGGTGGTTAGCGCGTTCGTCTGCGATCGTTGAAGTTAAGCATCTTTCACAGTGGTCGGTCATTGGATGGGTGACCAAAAATTATCTATGTCGAGTTCCTCCGTGCTTCGGAAGGTCCCGGTCGTTAGCACCCGCCAATCCGCACTGGGCCCGCGTGGTGGGTCATGGCCCAATCTCCCTATTCCATCCATAGGGAAGGCCTGTGCCCCAGCAGTGGAGACATTAATAGGCTGATGAAATTTAAAAAAAAATCAATATCGTTTATTCAGTCTAGGCTGTTACAAGCACTTGTGAATGTTGAAAAGCTACGCCATCGGTTCGCAAATCTACGGCGGGAGACCTTGTACTGAGAAGAACCGGCAAAAAACTCAGCAAGGGCTGTTTTGTTCTCCCTGTATTAATATAGAGAATCGTCAAATTGAAAAATGACTTCAATATGAGGTAACTCATAATGTTAAATTAATAAATATAATAAGATATTCATATTCATTTATTGCATTGTTGCTGTTTACATGCTGTTTCAAAAAAAATATATCATTCCAAACAAGAACACGGTTAGGGTATTGCAATATACTAAACTAAATAGGTAGATCTACCGTCATAATTATAAAACGTTCCAATATAACAAATTTTCAATCCTATATACAACATTCAATGACAAGATTCTCGCGTTTCTCCTAGGTTACCGCCAGCCCAGCCGCTGCTTGTCCGAGATACCCCGCATGCACTGTACTATCGTCTGCATAGCAATGAATATTCCCAAGAGGAATTAAGTCATTGATATGCAGCAGAAAGAGAGTGGGGGATAGGACGGAGCCCTGGGGAACGCCGGCATTCACTGACATGAACCGCGAACTGCTACCATCCGTAAGGACACGAATTCTACGCTCATGCAGGAAGTCAGCTACCCAAGAACAGAACTGGGCTGGCAGACCGTATGCCGGAAGCTTGGAGAGAAGGCTTTTGTGCCAGACCCTGTCAAACGCCTTGGCAATGTCAAGGCTGATAGCCAACGACTCGCCACGCTTGTCGATAGCCTCACCCCAGATATGAGTTAAGTACGCTAGAAGATCACCCGTCGATCGTTTCGGTCTAAAACCATATTGACGATCATTAATCAAGGAGTGATCCTCTAGGTAGCGGGTCAGATGGTTATTAAGGACCTTTTCTAAAACTTTACATAAAACTGAGGTGACTGCTATTGGCCGATAGTTTGCCGGGTCTGAGCGATCCCCTTTTTTGGGCACCGGTTGCACATTGGCATCTCTCCAAGTCTCCGGCACACGCCCCAAAGAATACGAGCATTGGTACAAGCGCGTGAGCACGGGAGACAACTCCGCTGCACATTTTTTGAGTACTACTGCTGGGATGCCATCAGGTCCACTAGCTTTCCGGACGTCGAGTGATTGCAATTCGGCACGAACCTCGCGCTGCCTGATTTTAATATCGGGCATCGTTGTGCCACAGTGAGGTAATGATGGTGGCAGTGCATTGCAATCATCGATTCGGGAGTTAGCCGCAAAGAGTTTTGCCAGTAAATCGGCTTTCTCCTGCGGCTTATGGGCTAGTGTTCCGTCTGGGCATCTCAGAGGTGGCAGCGAGGGCTCGCAGAAGTTTTTTTGCACGGCCTTGGCCAGACGCCAGTAGCTACGGGAGCCCGTAGGATGCGTCATAAGTTCCTGGCCAACACGTGCAACGCGCTGGGCATCCGCTCTAATGTAAGCCTTCTTACAGGCCTTGGAAGCAAAATTGTAGGCTGCTTTGAGTAAATCGACCTCGGGATCCTTGAGAGCGCGCCCTCTGATCCAAGCACGATATGCCGCTTGCTTATGCGAAGCAGCTTCAGCACAGTCGTGATTGAACCAGAGGTTACGCGTGCCCTTACTGATGAGATCAGAATGAGGAATATAGTATTCCATACCCATTATAATCTCCTCAGTAATGGCAACGGCACTGGCCGATAGGTCCCTGTCACTGAAGCAGCGCTGCTTCCAGGGGACGGACGCAAAGTAGTCACGCATACCGTCCCAATCTGCCGACCCATAATGCCAGATACGGCGCTTGACCACTGCTGGACGCGGAGGCTTGGCCTGTGGTGCTTTGGCAGATATCAGGCAGTGGTCTGACGAGCCCAGGGGGGCTCTTACCACAACCTGATAGCCCTGTGGATGGGTCGTGAGCAGAAGGTCCAGTAAAGAAGGCGCTTGACTTGGAATATCTGGGATCCTGGTGGGCTGATCAACCAGTTGTTTCAAGTCATGCGTGAGAGCGAATGCGTGAGCAGAGATCCCTGCATGGTCAGTTTTGGAAGAACTTAACCACAAATTGTGGTGAGCGTTAAAGTCCCCCAAAAACACCAATTCTGCATTGGGAAATTGTTCCTGCGCGTCATCTGCTGCCCGACTAAGGTGTTCAAAAAGTCGAGTTGTCTCAACATCGCCGGTGTGGGATCTGTAAAGACACACGTAAACTCTGGCCAGGGGGCCAGAGTCGACGTGTACCCCCAGCATGGAGAAGAAGGGATCTTCCAAGCAGCGGAGACGGCGACAACAAACATCCGCCCGAACATACAGGCATACACCGTCTTTCGCTTTGAAGGACTCTTCAAGCACGTAGCCGGGATAATTAAGGTAGCCTGTGTCAGCAGGCGGAAGTATTTGTGTCTCCGTCAGGAACAACAATGCTGGCCGTGCTGTCTCAAGATGGTGGTGGACAGCGTTGAGGTTAGAGTTCTTTTACATTGGTAATAACAAAATAAAAAAATGAGCGTGAGGTATTTGAAAACCTTCGGCGGTCAGAAGTCGAAAGCGTTAGCGTTTTCCAAAGCATTTCCGTTAGGTGAATGGCCCCCAGGTGGAATAACTACATCAAGCGAGTCAGGGGGACTGGATGCGGAAAGCTCAGGATCGTTGGGTTTGAAGATTCCTAGTGGAAGCCTATGTCCAGCAGTGGACATCCATCGGCTGATAATCATCATCATCATCAGCCTATTAATGTCCCCACTGCTGGGGCACAGGCCTTCCTTATGGGTGGAATAGGGAGATTGGGCCATGACTCACCACGCGGGCCCAGTGCGGATTGGTGGGTGCTAACGACTGCAAATGCAGCCGGGACCAACGGATTAACGTGCCTTCCGAAGCACGGACGGAAAAAAAATTACTATCTCGAGCTCCTCCTCGGCTGATAATGATGATGATAATTTTAAAGTCGTGTTACGCTCATGACGCATTTCCGTTTCATCTTTTCCATAGGATTTGTCCATTTGCCTGAAAAGAAGTTTCACTAAGTGTCGCCGCACACGGGCCACACGCCACAACCACAAACGCCGTTCCGAGAAGCTAAAAGCGGCTACTAAAGTGGCTGAAGCGCGCGACAGCGGCCGACTAAGGTAAGGGAGAGAGGGGTAGGGAATCGCGCGAGTGACGTGTGTATCGGCGCATTAAGTGGCCGGTGCGGGCCACAAGAAGCGAGCAACGACGATTTGTAGCGTGTGGCGGCCACCGGCGTACCGTGTGTGGCGAGTCCATATAAAATGTATGAAAACTACAAGAAATATGCCGGTGGCGGCGTTTTGTGGTTACAGTCGGTGGCCCGTGTGCGGCGACACTAAAGGGGATATAGTATATAAGTTTCTTGGGCCACACAAATTTTTACAGAGTGATCTGGTTTTGATATTTTTTTTCATTGGTAAGGAAGGATATACCCCGTAGTAGGAGTAAGAAATTGAAAAAAAAAAAATTCTAGGGTGTGATCACGGGGGATGATTGACTCACAGATTTTTAGGCTGAGTTGATTGAATTTGAGTATATTATAAAAAATATAGACACTAAAACTTGTAAAAGAAAAATACCAAAAAAACCCTTTTTTATCTTTAGTCAAATTAATATTTGGGGTCGGGGCCATGCATGTCTGATACATCAGATTTCCCATTTACTACTTGGGTTGACCTGGCACTGGTACCGACTACAAATATTAATTTGACTAAACATAAAAACAGCTATTATTTTTACCTTTTCGAAAGTTTAATATTTTTGTTAAAAAGTTTTTTTGTTTTCTATTCATATTATTATCATTATCATCACCATATCATACTAGAGACATCCATTGCTCTACTTAAGCCTTCTCCAAGGAATTCGTTTTGTGGTTGTGGTCGGTGGCCCGTGTGCGGCGACACTAACTTACCGTGGCTAGCGGCAGCTCGAGCAGTAGGCTGACTGGCCTCTCGCGGGGCTCCGGCGGAGCTGACTGGACGGAGAGCAGCGACCCAGCCTTCTCCGGGGAGAGGACTGCCTGTAACACATCATCAACATTATCATGCCGTCCGCTTATGGAACTCGCTGCCAGCAGGAATCAGAGACAGCCCAACTGTTGCTACATTCAAAAAACGGTTGAAGGAACACTATCTATCCTCTTGAATCACTGTTTCTAAACTCTATTGCTTCTCCTTTTTAACACTTATATATTTTGTAAATCTTTATATATATAATTTTTCTGTGAGTGTGTATGTCACTGAACTTCTCTTAAACGACTGGACCGATTTTGATGAAATTTTTTGTGTGTGTTCAAGGGGATCTGAGAATGGTTTAGATTCACAAAGACGTGTAGACAGGACAACGTCTGTCGGGTCCGCTAGTAGATATATATGTAGGTTTTGTTTATGTTACTATTTGTATTTTGTTATTTATATTCAGGGGGCACACACTGACGGCTTTTTTTTTATGTTCTTTCCTTTCGCGGGCCTGTTGGAAGAAATTTGAATATGAAATAAGCAGTACCCTTGTACAAATTTCTTGTTCTATTTATCTGTTTTATTGTGTGTGTACTAAATTAGTAAATAAATAAAAAAATGTGTGCGTGTACTAGTGTACACACGTAAGAAATGAAAGTTCTTTATGGCCTTATTTTTCGAAAAATGATCTACATGCAACTTTCCAGAAATTGGTTAAATAAAGTTAAATTAGATAAAGTTTAAACAAAAGGATTTTATTATCATAGACATGAATACAAATTACTGCCTATGAAACTGTTATGATTACACGGCTCAGTAATCTAAGGCACATGTTCCACCTCCGACGATGAACGATAAGCGAGTAGAAACTAGAAACGAATTGGCAGTCCTGAGTTAAAATGTACGCGCACGGCTTTTGACAGCCAAGCCAGCTTAACCGAGCGAGTATAGCTGAGCGAGTATCGCTGAGCTAGTATCGCTGAGCGAGTATCGCTGAGCGAGTATCGCTGAGCGAGTATCGCTGAGCGAGTATCGCTGAGCGTGTACCGCTGAGCGAGTATCGCTATGCGATACACTCAGCTACAAACGAGTAGAGAGAGTTCTCGCCGGCGACAGTGTGATCATTCAGCTATCAACTATTAATATAAAAAAAGATGGCGCGTAACGGAAAAATGTGACGCGTAACCGAAAAATGTGACGCCAAATTTTTTTCCAACGCCGATAAAGAAGTTTCACTTCAAAATAAATCATAGCCATATACGCCGGGTTTTATTGCGTCGCCTACTCAGAGGTGCTGAGTTCGAATTCTTTTTTTTTTTTTTTTTTTTTTTTTATGTTACTGTACTGTACTCGTATGCCCCCACGAGCAGAATAATAATTATAATATAATTATACCATCTGGTGGGGGCAAATGTTATTATGATGAATAAGATGATGATGCATTTGTTTTCCAGTCATGGGCGTTTAATAAGTATTTTCTTTATATAAATCTTTATATATATAATTCTTCTGTGAGTGTGTATGTCACTGAACTTCTCTTAAACGACTGGACCGATTTTGATGAATTTTTTTGTGTGTGTTCAAGGGGATCTGGGAATAGTTTATATAGAATATATTCACAATTTTGTCCGCTGGACAATGTTTTTTTAATTAATTTTTAATTTATTAGTAGTTGTTGATTTTGGAATGTTTTACATTGGATCCGACAGACGGCGCTACCATCGCAGTGTCAAATTTTCAAATTAAAGACGTGTAGACAGGACAACGTCTGTCGGGTCCGCTAGTATACTTATATATGTATCAGTAAATGTATTCTATCTATTATCCTAGTATCCGATTAAAGGAGCCTACAGTGCGTTCATTGGGGGTACACTAATTGGTGTGAATGTTGAAAATAATAATATTAAAAATAATAATGGTGTGACTAAAGATTTTCCTAAGGTTCAGTACGGTTGAATAAAGATTCACTTTTAAATTAATAGTGAAGTAAGAGCACTATAAAGTGTGAAGTATCATGTAAAAAGTGTTGAAAAATAATAAATCAGCTTTAAAACTGTTAGCAACTTTTAGCTCAATTTATTTTTAGCTAGGGACCGTCAAAACTTACAATGATAGAAAGGCCGATATAGATAGATAGATAGATAACACTTTATTGTGCACACCACATTAAATATTACACACTAGGACAAAACTTAAAATAGTGAACAATTAGCGGTCTTATCGCTATGTAGCAATTTCTGCCAGACAACCATAGGATCATCATCAACCTATTAATGTCCCCACTGCTGGGGCACAGGCCTTCCCTATGGATGGAATAGGGAGATTGGGCCACAGAACCATAGGATGGTGAGATGAAATTTCATAAAAGAGGGAGTGTGCTTATATAACAAATGAAATAATTACAAAAAAAGATTCACTATTAAACATACTCATAAATATCTATTATGCAAGTATACAAATATTAAATGAATGAGTAGAGAGACATACATATACATACATACAGTTGGAACAACACAAACAACTACTGTGTGAAAGGAAAAAATCTTTAATCTGTTTCTTAAATAAACCAATCGTCTGGGCACGTCTGATGTTAACTAGTCTGTGATATATGTGTCGGGAAGTGTAATAATCTATTCTATACTTATAATAAATCTGTAGAGAGGTCAATTCTGTACATGAAATATATTTTCAAAATAACTATCAGGGGGTGATTAGTGATCGATACTGATGCCAAAAATGCAATCAGTAAAATTTTTGTCTGTCTGTCTGTCTGTCTGTCTGTATGTATGTTCCTTATAGAAACAAAAACTACTCGACAGATTTTAACGAAACTTGGTACAAATTATTCTTCATACTCCTGGGCAGGTTATAGTATACTTTTCATCACGCTACAATCAATAGCAGCAGAATAGTGAAGGGAAATGTTGGGAAAACGGGAGAAGTTACTCCATTTTTTAAGCTTCTGTCGCGTGTGCAGCCTTAATGGTTAAAGTTACATAGAAATCATGTATTGTAGTGTTTGTTTTTAAACAGAGCGTGACACTGACACACGTAGGACAGCTGTTTTGTCTATGATAGCGAACCGCTTACGTCAGCGTAGCTGTCAAACTTCATTGATTGGGTTGGTAGCCTTGAGGGAAGAGTCGATTTTCCTATTCGACTAAAATATTCGCCTTGAGACTTATAAAAAAAAAAAAAAAAAAAAAAAAAAAGTAATCAGGCGGGGAATCTCTGTGGGGGCGCGTGGATGAATGGATGGAGTTTGACAGTTGTTGAATTTTGAATAGTCTTTCCCAGATCGATTTGAGTCCTCATTATCGGGTGCTGTTTTTAATCGATTTTGAATTTTACTCGAAATTGAATTTCCTCGCTGATTTGGGTAGGTATTCCCTTTTCCTCAGCTTACGGCGAGCGTAGGTATATAGTTTTGAGTTTATTCTTCGGTTCGTCTCGAATGCGGCGGCTGTCTGTTTGACTGTGGCCTTTGCCTTCAGTTGAAGTGGGAAACAAATCATAGACACATGTTTGGGAGTAGACGATCCGTCTATCATCTATGAGCAATTGTCAAAACAACTTTTAAAATTTCACAATTCACAAGTGACCGATAATGAGGACTCAAATCGATCTGGGAAAGACTATTCAAAATTCAACAACTGTCAAACTCCATCCATTCATCCACGCGCCCCCACAGAGATTCCCCGCCTGATTACTTTTTTTTTTTTTTTTTTTTTTTTTTTATAAGTCTCAAGGCGAATATTTTAGTCGAATAGGAAAATCGACTCTTCCCTCAAGGCTACCAACCCAATCAATGAAGTTTGACAGCTACGCTGACGTAAGCGGTTCGCTATCATAGACAAAACAGCTGTCCTACGTGTGTCAGTGTCACGCTCTGTTTAAAAACAAACACTACAGTATGACGGAAATATTCTACATAAAATTGTCAAAGAAATATCCCGCAACAGCATATGTCTATCTTTTATGGTTGACTCACAATAACACGTGTAATTATATAGATAAAGTCATTGTTTGTCAGGCACAAGCCTGAGAACAAAAACTATAGTTTACACTACAGCTCTACACCGAAGCGAAGCGAGGGCGGGCCACTAGTATATAATAATAATTTTAATTTAATATTTGACATGTGAATTGTTTTTTGTTTGAATTGATTTAATCATTAATATACAATTAAAAACATTTTTTACATTGCATGCTACTAAAAAATTGCTATGCCCCCTTGCAGGGCGTCACATGACATGTTATAAAACCTTTTGTACCCCAAATACCATGTACACACTTGGATTATGCAATAAAGTTATTATTTATTTTAATAGTACCTCTGCGATGGTGTCCGTTGGCAGATCGATGGAACATGACAGGGGTGCTGTGGACGTAGGGGGTGCTGAGGTGCCGAGGATCTGACCATCCAGCTTAGACAACTCCTGGAGCAAAACATCATATATATTGTTTTAAACTTTCATGATCACTAACATTATAGCTATTGACGGGATTGCTACCATGAACCTTGTTTTTAGCGAGTTTCCGATATTTCGGCACTGTTGCAAGCGCCATGATCACAGAGTAACTGAAGTAATTGCGGGTAGATGTTATTGGCAGACATATCGGTCTATCCTCTGACGTCGTCTTTAAGGGGTATCAAGCGCAGTAAAAGATAAAGGCGAATGCTACACGCTCGATATTTATCGTGATATTTGGAAAGTAATCCAGGATCACGATATTTATCGAGTCTGTGGTAGTGTTGCCGAACTATCGATATTAAAACTATCGACAGTTTACATCGAAAATCATGTACCCTATCGATAGGCCTATCGATAAAATCGATACTACCGATAGTATCGATATTATCGATAGCTCAGAACAAGGCAATACTATCGAATGAGTGCAATACTATCGATACTATTGTAGTTCGTTAATAACAAACTATTGATAGTATCGATAGTGTTGATTTTATCTGCAACAATACTATCGATAGTATCGATAGTATTTAACTCATCCGATAGTATTGGCTTTTTCTGTGCTATCGATAGTATCGATACTATTGATAGTATCGATACTATCGATAAGCCGATCGATTGTCATACGATTGGTTGGCTATCGATAGACTATCGATTAATCATCGATAGTCGACTATCGATCGGCAACACTAGTCTGTAGTATAGAGTATCACATATCGTGGTACGGATCGCTGGATCGTGATCCTGGATTACGATCCAAATATCACGATAAATATCGAGCGTGTAGCATTCGCCAAAGTCAGAACGAAATATCGGAGACTAATAAAAAACAAGGTACATGGTAACAATCCCGTTAATAGCTATAAAACATTATATACATATTTCAATAGTAATAAAAATTAATCAAAAACTCTCAGGAATTCATCATCATCATCAGCCCATTAATGTCTCCTCTGCTGGGGCACAGGCCTTCCCTATGGATGGAATAGGGAGATTGGGCCATGACCCACCACGCGGGCCCAGTGCGGTTTGGTGGGTGCTAACGACTGCAGATGCAGCCGGGACCGACGGCTTAACGTGCCTTCCGAAGCACGGAGGAACTCGAGATAGTAATTTATTTTGGTCACCCATCCAATGACCGACCACTGCGAAAGTTGCTTAACTTCAACGATCGCAGCCGAACGCGCTAACCACCCGCGCCATTGAGTTTCGCAGCAATTACTTAGTTCATTAACTTAAAAAATGAGAATTGTTTTTCTTATAAACAAACGGATACGCTAGGGTTCTAAGAAACCTTCCCGCTGTAGTTCAATCGTTGCGATTTTATAACTCATATTTATTATGTTTTTATTTATTTTTAAGCATTTAACTGCTAGATGTTTAAATCTAAAGAAAAGTTTTACTAGAAAATACTCCACGCGGACCAGGCAGCGGACGGGACTCGAACCGCCCCCTTCGCAATCCGGGCGAATGCACTGACCAAAATTATTTTCCAAACAAAGTAAACATTTTTTTTTCAGTCGAGTTTTTCAATAAATAATTTATTGTGAATAATCATGTATGTTAGATGTACAAAGTACTGTAGGCTGTAGGTAAAGGTAAAACAGCAAAAAAAATATCGGTTGCCCTCCCCTAAATCCGGCAGTGCCTAACGTTATTAAATACCTGAATGCGCTGTTAGCAATATAGCAGGTGTACAGACCGCGAGGAAAAGAGATGGTTATAGAACCGACCATGCATTTCAATATCACAAATATTTTCTTTTAAATCAGTTTATAGTAAGTATTAGAACAAAATTTTCTTAAATTGCGTTAATTTAACACACATTGATTACTTACCTGTCGAAAAAACGATACTACTACTAAGAACTTTATTACTTATATCAACGATGGATACGTGAACTACCCGACGTTATTAAATACCCTAGATACAACAATACGAAGAAAATCGTGGCCGAAACCTGTCCAAAAGGTACATTGAACGATCCACGGAGCTCCGACAGATGATCGCGTTGCCAAAGAGAATATAAAGCATTATTTAAAAATTTAAAGTCACCTTTAATGCATACTGTATAAGGTCTTAATTAAAACGCATGCGTCAAAGAGTGGCAGTCCGAAATGCAAGCTCGTAAAATTTTACGACTTATTGCTATATGCGAAAGAATATAGACCTTATTTCTTTATCTCTACGCGCAATTCTAAAATGCGCTGTTATCAATGGAGCATTTAAGGACCGCGAAGAAAAGAGATAGCTGTATAACGGACCATGCATTTGAATATCACAAATATTTTCTTTTAAATCAGTTTATAAAAGTATTAGAACAAAAATTTGCTTCAATTGCGTTAATTTAACACACATTGATTAGTTACTATAAGTAATTTTTCGCAATTTTTCACGGAGCTCTGCGGCATGTTGACTTTTCAACGGTCCGCGCGTGATTGTTAACTAAGAAGTGCTTGAGTGGTGTTCAAGCACTTCTTGATTTGGTCACATTTTGAGCGTACATGGTGTATCTAGTGTGGTGTGTAGTATTTAATATCGTTGACCATGCCCTACATTCTACATCTTGACATAGGTACTATAGAAAAAAAAACTTCCGTACACATCTATCGGCTTCCTTAGTGTTATAAGTTTTAACGATCTGTAGCAAAAAATATATGTTTATGGTTGAGCAATAATTTAATAAAAAACCCATGAAGAGAAGTTTAATAAATTAGTTGCAAAACTGCGAAGGTATCAAGTTTTTGCTCAATGTAACACTTTTTTTTCTTTTTTTTTTTGGCAACAAACAGTCATATATTTTACAAAAGTAACTTATGTTAAACATTTTTTTATGAAATAGACCTAACAGTGCCGAAACACAATATTAACAACAGTTCTGAAGTTAGGACATGGTCAGCTAATGAAAATCCAAAATTAAACCATTACAGTACACTATTGTATGACGAAATATTTATATCATATGCATATACTTAAATATGTGTCTGTGTACACACACGTATACATACATACGCACTTTATTGGAGTTTACTCCTTAAGAATCGATTTGCATATATAAGGAGCCCGGTATGAGAAAAATGTGAGGAGTGAAATCTATCGATGAATGACCTCGCTACGTTTTTACTGTCTACGCTGTAGCAGCCGTAGTGCTACGGTGTAGCACAGTATCGTAGCGTACCTTTATTTATGCACATCTGAAATTGACTATTGTAAAAAGTTTAATGTAAAATATTTCGTCGATTAGTTATAATAAATGTATATGAAATTAATAAATATATATTTATATATGTATATTATTTTCATTAATTTGTTAATTTACCCTTTTAAATGTAGCAAGAGGCATATTAAAGAGATCAAATTCAGAGAATTCCTCGTTGTACGTGCTGGTGGAACGATAAAAGAATAAACGTATATATTTTTTGACGTTTCGGTGGAACAAACATCGGTAGTGTACGTGAGGAGCGCATGGGAAGTAGAACTCGACATGGAAATCGAATATTTTCAAGGAGTGCGGACGAATCTATAAGCGAGTTTAGTATTTTATAAAGAAAAGTAATGTCACAGATTTTTCGGCATTTTTTAGTAATGTCACTTATTTTTAACTAGGGGCCGTCGGAACTAAAAATGCTAAATGGGTCGGAAGTATATATAAAATGTAACCTATCTTTAAATACTGATGACCCTTTTTTAATTAGCGGGACCTCGACCATTACGTAACAAGGCAAGGGCAATATCGATCGGTCTATTTTAGTGACAGGTCGAAACTTGTGACGACACACGAAGTGATTGTGATCACTTAGTGACGATAACTGAGAATGACGATAACCGAAACAGGGTGGAAAACAAGCGTAGCTCGTCTGAAAATAACAGGATGGAAATCGAGCGTATGGCTCGTCTAAGTTTTTCATTATTTAAAACGACAAAAAAAAATATTATATTATTTAAAACGACAAAAAAAACGGAGGAGGTTCTCGAGTCCACGTGTACAATATGTATAACTAGTCTGGTCTAAAAATCTGTGAGTCAATCATCCCCCATGATCATAACCTTAGAATTGGGTTTTTTAACAGGGTCAAAAACGAGCATATGGCTCGTCTGAGTTTTTCATTATTTAAAACGACAAAAAAAACGGAGGAGTTTCTCGATTCCACGTGTATAATACGTATAACTAGTCTGGTCATAAATACAATAAATAAAAATAAATGGAATACAACACACACAAAAAGGGAATACATTACGCACGCAGTTGCCAGATCTTCCGATTTTACAGTTTTAGTGGCTATAATTTTTGTAATAAACTCAAATTCAATCAACTCGGCATAAAATCTGTGAGTCAATCATCCCATATAATCATAACCTTAGAATAGGGGTGATGACGGGGTACAGTAAACGAAATTCTATTTAGTCCGTCAATTAGATGATCAAAAAATAATGGACACGTATTTTTTCTTTGGGCAATCTACCAAAAAATGACAAAGTTATAGCGCGTCAAAGTTTGGGAGTAGGGGCTCGTGACGTCACTTTTGAGTGATTTTTCACTTATAAGTGTACTCAAACGTGACTACCTGATAAACGAAGAAAAAAAAATTAGTCATCATCCCTATTGGATTTTTAACAGGGTCGAAAACGAGCGTATGGCTCGTCTGAGTTTTTCATTATTTAAAACGACAAAAAAAACGGAGGAGGTTCTCGAGTCCACGTGTATAATATGTATAACTAGTCTGGTCATAAATACAATAAATAGAAATAAATACATTACGCACACAGTTGCCAGATCTTCCCTATTTGCAGTTTTTAGTGGCTATAATTTTTGTAATACACTCAAATTCAATCAACTGGGTATAAAAATCTGTGAGTCAATCATCCCCCATGATCATAACCTTAGAATTGGGTTTTTTAACAGGGTCGAAAACGAGCGTATGGCTCGTCTGAGTTTTTCATTAATTAACGACAGAAAAAAGGTTCTC